TTTCAATTATCATCTCAATAACTTTTTTATTTTTTCATTTATTTTTAGTTCTAATTTCTTATTTTTAAATCTATCCGAACTTTTTATCTTCTCCATCCTTTAGGTTTTTATTTTAAATTTTTAAAATGAGAATTTTCATTATGAATAAAACTAAATAAGATAGGATACCAAAAAAAAAACTAAATAAGATAAAAAAAATTAATAAATTTATTGTAAAACAAAAATCATGTTGGACTCATTTATTATTAGGCCTGTTTTATTTTATTGTTTATGTTATAATTTATAAATTCACACACACACACAAAAAATTAGTCATTATTAAATATATATATATATATATATATATTTTTTGATGACTTTGGTAATCCATAATTATAAATTTCTTTTGTAAATATAAGAAAATACTCCGTAAAAAAGTGCATCTCAGATACTATCCTTTTATAATTTATAATTTTCAAATTATATATAAGAATGAATTAGTTTACATATGTACAAGCTAAGTCAAAGTTTTTTTTGGAAGATATTTAGAAGTTACTTTGAAAATGGGTGGTTTCTCAAAGAATTAGACTTTTTTTTTTTTTTTGGAAAGTGGAACACGACAGATTGTCAACAAGAATGCGATTGAACAAATTTCAGTTGGGTTCTGCAATCTGCCCAGTTTGTAATCAAGGAGATGAAAGCATTTTGCATTTGCTTCGAGATTGCTCAACCTCTAGAAGTTTATGGTGTTGAGATAGATAGTCTCACATTGGTTGTATGTGCAACTAATGTGGAGTTTATAAGGCCTTGGGCACTCCCACCCTTTGAGCTAACTTTTGGGGTGGTGTATCCCAAGGTTCTTTATATGGTATCAGAGCAGTTTCTTCAAGAATATCCAGAGCATATTTCCTCTGAGATATCACAACACCAGCTTTAGATTGGGCCACCTCGATTCCTAAGAAGTATCGAAGTTTCCCAAGATCCTTAGTCTGAAAATGATGACATAAGTGTTGTTTCAATCGAGTGATCACATGCTGATCACTGCCTGTGATGACAATATCATCCACATATACCACCAGATAAATAGATCCAGAAGTAGAATGACGATAAAAGAGAGAATGATCAGCTGCACTCCCAGTCATGCCAAATTGTTGAACAACAGTGCTAAATTTACCAAACCAAGCTCTTGGAGAATGTTTGAGGCCATAGAGAGACTTACGAAGACGACAAACAAGACCTGACTCCCCCTGAGCAACAAATCCAGGAGGTTGCTCCATATAAATTTCTTCCTCAAGATCACCATGAAGAAAAGCATTCTTGATATCCAGTTGGTAGATAGGCCAATGGCTAATAGCAGCCATGGCAATAAAAAGGCAAACAGTAGACATTTTCGCCATAGGAGAAAAAGTATCAATAAAATCCAAGCCAAAGACCTGAGTGAAACCCTTCGCCACCAAGCGAGCTTTAAGACGATCCACTTGACCATCAGGTCCAACCTTAACAGCATAAATCCATCTGCAACCAACCGCAGATTTTCCAGAAGGAAGAGGCACCAGGTCCCATGTGCCATTAAGATGAAGAGCACTCATTTCATCAATTATAGCTTGTCTCCATCCCGAATGTGAAAGTGCATCACCTGTGATCTTAGAAACAGATACAGAGGACAAAGAGGACATGCAAGCAAAATATGATGGAGAAAGACGATGATAACTAATATTGACTGTATACCTGGCCGGAGGGCGAGTATCACGAGTACCCTTACGAAGAGCAATGGGAAGGTCACTATCCGAAGATGGGACCGAAGCCGTGGGAGGAGATGTAGTTAAATGTGAGTCCACAGATACATCTGACGAACTATGCTCGATCTCATCAGTTGAATGTGAGCAATGGTATCAGAGCCTCGCCGCCCCTCACTTTCTCTTGTGGTGTTTCTTAGCACAGGTAGGCTGGGCCTGTTGCATTGTCCACCCTTCAAGCCCAATAGGCTCTTGTGTGAGGGGGCGTGTTGAGATAGATAGTCCCACATTGGTTGTATGTACAACTAATGTGGAGTTTATAAGGCCTTGCCCTTTGAGCTAGCTTTTGAGGTGGTGTATCCCAAGATTCTTTACATATGGCTTCAATTGTCACCCCAATTAGTTAACTCCTATTTTTTCTATTATAATTTGCATGAATGACTAATTAATAACTTAACGGACATGGCTACTAGCTGCTTCGGTCCTTGGGAAATACTGTTTGGTATTACCTGCTAGAAGATTTGTACATGGAGAAATGAAATTATACATGATTCAGGAAGGGTGGAGAGCAGATTCAATCCAAGTGTGATAAAAACTTTTGCTGCAGAATTTTTCTCAACGTTCTTATCTGATGATGGTGTGCCTTCTAGCATAATATTTGACACAAAATTAATCAAGTGGGTTCCTCCTAAAGATGGTTGGATTAAAATTAATACTGATGGGCTTCAAGAGGGAATCCAGGAAGTGCTGCTGTGGTGGATTGATTAGGGGCTCTAATGGTATGTGGTTGGAGGATTTTTCTTACCGGGTGAGTTATTATAATGCAATTACAGCTGAGCTTTGGGGTATTCCGTAAGGACTCAATCGGGTTTGGGTAGGAGGTTGAAGAAAGATTATTTAAGAAAGTGATTCAGCTTCTGCTATTACTCTGTTCATCAAGGCTGGTGATCCATCCTGTGAGTCTCACATTGTGACTCGTATACGAAGAGGAGTCTCAAAGGATTGGACTGTTCGACTAGCTCACACTTATAGAGAGGAAAACATTTGTGCGGACTGGCTTGCTAATCTTCCTCTAGAGAACTTAGATTAGGAGGATTTTATTTTATTTAAGTCTCCCTCCTCCTCCCCTCCCCTGAAATTAGGTGATTTTACTTTTCTGATTTTAGCTCTGTACATAGAGCTAGACGTTCTTTGATCTAGTTTCTTTTCTGTTTTCTTTGGGGCTTGACCCCACCACCCAAAAAAAAAAGTCAAATTTTTTTTTACATTATTCATGATAAATTCTTTCGAATTGGTAATTTTATTTTAAATTATTTTTTATCGTAAATTGAGAAAATATGTTGAATAATTAATTAGGATTCAGTAATTGAGTCTCTTGAAGTTAATGATTAGGTTCAATTCATGGTCGATCCTAATTAGGTTCAACTATCAATTTGTTTCTTTTTATCCTTACATCCATTGTCATAAGATTAATATCTCCAACAATGTCACGATTATAAGAGGCCCTTTTAATAATTAACTTCTAGAAGGTTTAATCTTTGGTTCATTATTTAAAAAGCAAGCAAATCCTTCCAACTATATATAGGTCAGTACGTTTCCGAAAAATTCCTTGTGATTTAAAACTCAACTGCGTAACTCCTAAAACTTTTCAAATCATGCATTATAGTGTAAAATTAACACTATCTGAATGCACCGAACATCCTTTGTAAGGAGTCAATATATACGATCTGATTAGTTAAAAGAGTCAAATTATTATGTTTTGAATCACGTAAAGGTTTTCTAAGGAAGAAGAAGAGAATTTCTTACATTTCAGCCATTTAAATTAGGGTTAAAAATTTCTCATCTTGCATAAGAATAATATCTTTTCCTACACTGTACACACTAAATCTTTAAATCATAAGGTTCAATTTGTATTTTTAAAATAAAGGATTTAGAACTATCATATTTTAGGAACAAAAAGATATTTTCAGCAGACCTATCGAACTTTATGAATTTTTTTTTTAAAAAAAAAACCTATAAATCCCACACTTTATATTTCTATGGCATGATGTATCCACTTTCTGGCAATACTATAGTTATAAATCCCTTGAAGATTTTTTAACTTAAAAATTTGTGAGAAAAACCTTACCCACACAATTGAACATAGAAATCAGGGGATATGGTTATGCGAGTCGGGTTCCTTTTCTACAGGGTTAATATTTTTCTTATTTACATAAAAATATATTAGATCCATATGAAAAGAAGAAAGAAAAAGAAAAAATATGAGTCTTATATACTTTTATATTTATATATATATATAGAAGATAAATTTATCTGTTAACGAAACAATAAATCTCTTTTCATTGTCATGAATTTATATTCCCTCTGTGTATGAAATAAATAAAATTATATTCCCTCTTCATGGTAATGACAATAATAATATCGAAATATCCTCATCCATAATACAACCGAAAGAGAAGTGCCAGCCCAATCAACGTTAACGACTTAACGAATTAGGATAAACATCTACACGTCTTACACCTACCTTGCCTAGGTCTCGCATTCCCATTCGTTCCTATATCTTTGTCATAGTTGCTTTTCTTGAGAAATCATTTAGCCCACGAGCATTATCATTTGTTATTTTTTTTTTTTCCCTTCTAATTAAGCTAAAATAGTAGTAATGTTGACAACAGACAAGACAACTACCAGATATGTGGCTGTATTTTAGTTTACAAAAAGCATTTTAAGTGGTGTTCTCATTTACAAAAGAAGAAAACCCTATCACTATCACTATTCCCCTTGTGCCATAAAATGTGAACTTTGTTATTATTTTATTATTATTAGTTTAGAAGTTGTCAGTGGTTTAAATAAATAAAAAATGAGGGAATCTAACCCCCCACGGGTAGCTCAGTTGGCAGCTGAGCTCCCAAGGGATTATTTGGTGCAGGATCAAACCCTACCTCAAGCAGTTCCTTGAAAAATCTTTGGGGGCCAGAGGATAAGCCAAAAATTTTCGATTGGGGGATTAGTCTCGTCCTTTCTCCGGTTGCGAAGCTTAGTGCACTCACTGTTACAATGAGGGGCTAGCCCAAACGGGCCGTACCCCGAGGACATGGTGCCCGAAGAAGGTTGAACGGGAATACCTACTGGCAATGTACCAAAAAAAAAAAAAAAATGAGGGAATCTTATTTGGTGAAGGGAAGGGACACGTCACGTTACTAGATTCATTATCCGAATACAAAAGTCTAAGCGAAAGCTTTTTCATCTTTTTTTGCTTATTGCTATTTTTCCCTCCATCGAGTGCAATCCAATCCTTTTCTCCATATTTAAGCTTTATCTCTTTCTCTGGTTTTTCTCTCTCTTTCTCTCTTAAAGACATTGAAACGATTGTCGTTTCCACAGCTTGGAAGAACGTTTGTGTATTCAATTCGTTGATGGCGCCTTTTTCGATCGGTGATTAACTGTGATGCACTTCATACCTCACCTATGGCTTTCTCTGCATCTCTTCGCTCTACCTTTTCTCCATGCTACTCACAGGTTCCTCTCTCTCTCTCTCTCTCTCTCTCTCTGTCTGTTTAGTTTCTCTATTTGATTCATTAATTGTTTTTAGATTTCATTTTGCGGTTCCATAAATACATTTAATCTTGTGAAAACTCGACAGAAATTAATGATTTATCAGGATTTTTGAATATGAATCATGATGTGGAATGGTTATGCGTTTCCGTGTGCAGTTGTTGTGTTCTCTTAGGTTCAATAGGAAGCATCGTAGCCGAATAGGTTTCGTGTCGAGAGGAGAAAGAAAACGTCGTCATGTATGGAATGATGTTAGTGTTAGATCGGTATTGAATAGCAATGGCCGTAGCATTAGTGATTATGGAGAAGCTGAATCTGCTAGGGTTCTGCTCGAACGATTGTTCGAGCAGACGCAGAAACTGGAGCCTGAGATGACCGGAGGGGAATTGGATCTTCGAGTTCTGGAGTCGGATCTTCTGGCGGCACTCGCGGCGTTGAAGGAGAAGGAAGATCATCTGCAGGAAGTGGAGAGGACGGTTTTGTTGGAGAATAGTAAATTGAAGAACACAAAGGAAGAGTTAGAGCGCCAAGAGAATGAAATTGAAGCTGCTCGCGCCAGGTATGAAAAATTGGAAGAGGAGATGAAGCAGGCTACTCTTAATTTGGTTTCTCAAGCTAGCCAGATAGAGGAACTAAAGCTCTGGCTTAGGGAACGCGATCAAGAGGTTGCTTCTGTACAGAACACGCTAACAATGAAGGAAGAAGAAGTGGAGAAAATGAGAATTGATTTGGAGAAGAGGAATCAAGAAGCTGCATGTGTTGATTCTGAGCTTCGAGAGAAGGCTCAGCTTCTGGCTGAAGCAAAGGAGGTTATGAACAAACAAGAAGTTGAGCTTCAAGAACTGCAAAGAGCTGTTCAAGAAAAAGAAGAACAACTTCGAGTTTCTCTGGCTGAGAGGAAGCTTGGAGAAGAAAAGCTGAAGGTTGCAGAGAACACCATGGAAAAACAGGCAATGGAGTGGTTTTTAGCGCAGGAGGAACTTAAGAGGTTGGGAGAGGACGCTTCAAGATATGCACGGGAGAGTGCTGAAACTATGGAGGATTTCAGAAGGGTGAAGAAGCTTCTCAATGATGTGAGGTCTGAATTAGTTTCATCCCAGCAAGCACTCGCATCTTCTAGAAACAAAATGGAAGAACAAGAGCGGTTGTTGGAAGAGCAGCAGGCTGAACTTGCAGAACAAAGGGCATGTGTCATGTCTTACAAGGAAAATTTAAGAGATGCCCAAATAGAAGTGGAGAGTGAAAGAAGTAAACTTAAGGTTGCAGAGGTTCGGAACAAAGAACTTGAACGGGATCTGTCCATGGAAAAGGAGCTCGTAAAGGATTTACAAGAGGAGCTGAAGAAAGAGAGAACTTCTTTGGAGCAAGCACTCCAAGAAATGTCTTTGCTTCAAGACGAATTAGAGAAAAAAAGTGCTGAATTCAGAGAAACAAGTGCCATTCTTCATGTCAAAGAGTCTGAGCTTGTTGATGCTAAGCTAGAAATTCAGCATTTGAAATCTGAAAAGGCTTCTCTTCAGGTTCTCTTGGAGGAGAAAGACTTGGAACTTTCCAATGCTAGGAAGATGCTGGAGGAACTAAACCAGGAAATCTCTGATCTTAAGATGCTTATGAACAATAAAGAAACACAACTTATTGAAGCAACCAATATGCTAAGGGAGAAAGATGAGCATGTGAAGATAATCCAGTGCAAGTTAAATAATACTAACCTGAAGGCTTTCGAAGCTGAATCTGTGGTTGAACGAATTGTAGAGCTCACGAACAAGCTGGTTGCTTCCATTAAGGATGATGACATTAACTCATCAAGACCACTAGATGAAATGGGTAATCAACTACTCGAGCAACTATTGGAGGAACCTACTAATGAATTGAGGTGGCAACAAAAACGGCTTGAGAATGAGCTGGAGTTGACCAAAGAGAGCTTAAAAACAAAGGAGATGGAAGTTCTTGCTGCACAGAGATCTCTAACAATAAAAGATGAGGAGCTTAAAATGACTCTTGTAAGATTGGATGCAAAAGAGGAAGAGTTAAAAAAAGTAAGGGAAGAGGTGACAGAAGATGCTAATGATCTTAAAAGTATGTATGCTTTGGCGCAGGAGAGAATTGGTGATAAAAGCATCGGAGACTTGGCAGTTGAGAAGCTTCAGCTTGAGGCATCTCAGCTTGAAGTTGAAGCTGCTACTAGTGCTCTACAAAAACTTGCAGAAATGAGTCGACAACTTTTGAATAAGGCTATCATGAGTGTTGAAACTGATAACTATATCAGTGTCATGCAAAATAACGATAATAACCCTGATTCATTTACAGATATCAATACCACTGACTATTTCGCTGAGGTAAAAGCAGGAGTTACTCGACTCTCAGCTTTGACTGAGCAGCTTGTGATGGAGGCGGGTATTGTTGCTGCAAACTAGAAGAGGTAATGAAGAAGGTTGTGAAGGGAAATTATATGTTGTTATCTATGTGGCCAAAAGCCATTGCAAGGTTAACTTTTTTTTTTGGTGGAGCATTGTATCTTCACTTTGTTAGCAAGATATATATATATATATATATATATATATATATATATATATATATATATACAGCGATCACATCTGTTGTCTAGTAGTGGAGGTGGAAACCTGTTTTGTTGTACTAGTTACATTCAGAATGTATTTATTTTAGACAATAAGATGTAAAGATTTTCGTTTGCTGCTTTTCTCCATCTTCTATTAAATCAAATGTCTAACCTAAATCCAAGTCCTCTCTTCTCCCTTTTTAAGATTGAGTAAAAAAGTGGCATAACTTTATATAGCACAGGCTTGCAAACATCTGGCGCTGCCGCTAAGTGTTAAATGTTTAACAGTTAAAAATGCTACACTGATTGGTTGCGTGCATCAATGAAAAGCAATTTAAAACAAAAAAGGGGTATCAGGTTGCAAAATTAGATCGAAGATCTCATTTCAGAGGGCAATTCAATACTTATCAGCTTTGCATATTTCACAAGTGTACATACGATAAAAAAAAAGTAAAAAAAGGATGTACACTCCGTTTTCCCGGCCTTTACATCATCCGGCCTTTTTACATCGAACCTTTGTTGTTACTATGGCTACGACCTCTCTCAAACTTATGATCTCTTGCACTTTCAATTCCCAGTTCTATATAGAGCGCAGAACAATTCAATAATTACAAATAAAGCTAAGATGTTTCTCATGTTGCTTAGACAATTTGTCTCATGCAATACACACAAAAAAAAAAAATGAAACCCACTAATTAGAAGAGAGAGAAAGTGAAATCCATCTATTTTTTTTATTTTTTTTGTGCTGTATGAAAAAAATTATCTCACGTAATATGAGAAATATATTTCTCAAAAAAAGAATATAGAACAATTATGTACAGCTTTAAAACCTCAAAATTATGAAATTTTAGTGGTCACAAGAATTTGGTTCCGCCAAGGAAATTTGGTTTCACTCCTACCCTTTCATTCTGTTTACAAATTCAACAAGCATATCATGAAAATTTTGTAGTGTTCCTTATGCAAAGCATTGGTGGAAACAAAGTGTGTAAAGAGCTAATCCTGTGAAGCATATGTACAATCTCTACATTCAGAGTCAGCCGTGATGGCATTTTTTACATAAATTTACCACTTTCAAATGATGTTTGTTCAACTTCAAACTAGTATGGCAGAACAGCTGATGGAATTGCTTCACTAGTCCAGAGACTAGTTGATGCTAAGAAGCTACATGCGTTAGTTATTCAACTATATTGAGATAGGAAACTCTAAAACTACCGACCAGTGGAAGTGTTGACACCTTCTTTGAAAAGGATATTAGCAACTGAAGGAACCCATGTTGGGTTGACAGGATTTATAGCAACAGAAGATCTCCGTGTAGGGCTGCTGGCATTTTGACCATCAAGATATTGGCTTTCGCTTTCTATTGCATTAACCTTCTTGTTCCTCCTCACTTTTTTTCCAACTAACATGCCTAGTTTGAAAGCTGTAAATAGGCCGAATGCAATTAGAACTGGTCTAACTGCCCAATGATGATCCTCTATATGTTGATACTTCTCTATCATCCCAGGACAAGTCTTAAAATCAACCACTTCAACCTCAGAGGGATCAGCCAAGAAGGTACTCGATTCATTCCCCAAAGTCAGCATACCTGGGAACTTGACAACCAAACACCCATTTGGTAGGATCCATGAAATCCTACCAGTAGCCCAGGACCCTCCCCTTTTACGACGCCATTCGAATCGAGGACTTAAAACATTGCCTTTCAGCCTAACAAACTGGCCCACACAGTAAGATTCTGCCATTTCAAGTTCTGAAGAATTTCCATTCCAAAGAGTTTGCAGACCAATAAAACCAACAGCCACTCTACCATCACGGTTGATGGAATGTAGGATGCCCACTGGTGAGTGCTTCTCATTTTCATCCCTCAAGCGTACCCAATCACCAGCTGCCAGGCCAAATGTGACTCGTTCAAGGGTTGACACATGAATTCTTATAGGGTCATGAATACCATGGACCCTCACAAGAACAAATCCATGATCCGCATTTCGGTCTAAACCAACAACAGTTCCTTCCGAGACATCCATGTTTTGGGGTTTGCATGAATTGGGAGGCTTTCTAGATCGGACCTTGTCACCCACCTGAAGATGATCCTTTGAGAGGAACCACTCTGTGTAGCCAGTGCTACCTGATTTTGCAGCAACTTTCACATTTCCTAGATATCTCCATCCTCCATCATTGGCTAGTTCATTCAGTGAGCTGCAATGTAGAAAGAATGATTAAGAATAGTGTAATATTCAACAGCAGACCGTTCTTATCTTCATGAAAATAACTAGAAATTAACTGAAAAGATAACCATGCTTTGGTACAAACTATTTCATGCATCTCTGGAAGATTATTGATTTAATTATTTCTGGTACAGGCATTATCTTGGATTAGGGCAAGCAAAAATGTAGAGCACTTTCACTCACCCCCAATTAATTGGCTACCCATATTTAATGTTCAGAATACATAAGCCTTAACAAGATACAAGCTAGCTACAATAAATGAGCTTAACAATATCATCAGCTAGATAATACGCACTGAAAGCTATGTGTAAGTGCATCTTCAAGTCAATTGAATATTTCACCATGTTATGTGCTTTTGTAATTGATTTACACAATACTAAAAAGATAAAGAAATATAATAATGATACATGTTCCAAAATATAAATGAAATGAAGGATTAACACTTATTAGCAAGGAAAATGTTTACTAGCAAATGACATACCCATTTGAGAGTCCCCATGTGACCATCACAATTCTGATCTAGTAAATCATCATGTATCTTTTGTTTGTGGACAATTTTCACCCTTACGTGGATAAAAAAATTCATACAACTTGAATAGTTATGATTTATGAAATATAATTCCAAAAGCATGTAAATTGTACAAATTATAGCTTCTGGAAAAAGAAAGTCATCAGGGTAAAATAGGTCGTCATTCTAATGATATATTATATATATATATATATATATATTAAGGCTTTCCTAAAAAAGGAGTGTACTTTGACTTGTACAACGGTTGAGTATGTTCACAAAGCTCATGGATTACTTCACATAATCTTCAACAGTCACAAAAATTCTCCATCTAAATCCCTATTCTTAGTCTGGCCAAATGGATTGGTCAGTGAACTTTTTATGACTATTGAGTCAAGTCAAATGTGGAGCAAACATGTCAATTTGTCTTTGCGAAGAAGAAAGTAGGAACAGCACCTATAGCCATATAAACAGCGCATATTTGAATGTGTTATCTCGACCACAAAGGTATTATAGTTTCCACACCTTGGGCCCTTCTCTTGATGAAATAAGTTTCCATGTCCAGTGATAACTAGGAGGACTACATGCTAAATTAAATGAGAATCTCAATTACCAGAAAAAATGGTTTCAAGCTATCATATATGACCTCCCCAAACAACTTCATATGCGAATTAGATGAGCAACAAATATGATGCTATGTCAAGAACACAGTGCAAGGCAAGCAATTAAGAAAAAGAACTTTTGTGTAGAAATCCTATGATCCTGGTCAATCACTCCGGAAGATGGAATCAGCTCCCCATGATATATATACATATATATATATATATAATCTGCTAGTTGATAATTTTAATGGATTTTGATTAGTCTCACATATAAACCATGCCAAAAGAATGCAACTAAAACACTAAATAAAATAAGACAGACCCAACAGAATTATAACTTTATGAAGCTATTCAAAAGCGCTCATAATATCTACCAGAATTATCAGTCACAGAAAATTCCAATAAAAATCTAAAAAGATACAAACCTTTTAAAGACGCTCACAATATCTACCATTAAAGGGCGATTCCTCAAATCATACTCAAAACATCCACTGAGGATGTTCTCAACTGAGGAAGGAAGGCCACTTGGAATATGGGGTTTTTCATGCTTTTCAACCACCGATTGGTATATCCCACCAACAGGACATCCGTACCAAGGTTGATTACCAGTCAACATTTCGACAATGGTGCACCCAAATCCCCATGAATCCGTTTCAAAGGATATAGGGCCTCTGACCTCTGGTTCCCATTGCTCTGGAGCCATGTAATTTGGAGTTCCAAGCCTCTGAGCCATATCTAAGTTTAAGAATGAGGAGCCAAGCAAAAGACTGGGAATACCAACATCTCCCAAAATTGCTTGATCATTATCATTGAGAAGAACGTTAAATGGTTTAAGGTTGAGAATGATGACTCCTTTAGAGTGAAGTTCCAGAATACCTTGAGCCAGATTGATTCCATACCTGCAGCCAGTAACAGGCCCTTAGTACTATTGACCAAGTTTTTCCTCCTCGTGTTATATATAAAGATAAAGATAAGCATATTTCACTGGATACACTGAAAACTCATCACCTCAAAACATCATGCAACGAAATCCTTCCTTCTCTAAGTCTAGCCATCTTATCACCAATTGAACCCTCATACAAATTCATAATGATGCATATCTATGAACACAAAGAAATATGTTAGCTAGATAGAAGTTAAAAATGGTAGCTAACAATCTCCCATATATTGAACTAAATGTGCAGTCCAAGTCTAACCCTTCCATTTAAGATAGAAATTCCATGTAGCCAGCAAACGCTAGCAACTTCTTGGCACTTAATATATAATTCGTTAAATTTCTCCAATACAATCTTCATATGATCCTCTCTGATTGGATATAACATCTTAGCAGCAACTTCATGGTACTCGTCATAATCTTCAGTTGACTGATGATGAGTTGCTAGCCAGACATCACCAAAGGGGCCCCGACCAATTCTGTGTCTGAGTTTCAACCTTTCAGGTTCAATCCATGGATTTGTGCGATTGGATGAGGCTTTAACAGTTCCAAGGATGCCAGGATCATCATCCAAGAACACATACCCCAGAGAAGCAGCTGATGGAGTAGCAGTGACTTCTTTAGACATTCCTAAATCTGAAGTCGTAATATTCATTAAATAATTTAACAAATTGCACAAATCCCAAGACAACTATGCAAACGTGATGATTATCATTTGAGCTTCTGAAAAGGCACATGCATACAGCATTTCATTGTTAGTTAGACATAAGCATAATAATATAAAAGAGAAGGGGTGTACAAATAATAATTTTGCAAGTCTTGTTGTCTCACCAACAAACACCAAATACATCTTTGTTGACTTATTTCTATAAGCAGGCATGTCAACGAATTTGCAGTACTAGTAACATAACAAATGGGAATAGATCCTCTAATGTCATATGACCTCATATGAGACAATCTCATCTATAGGCAAACAGGCAGAGATGAAAGATGAGATAAAGATAACAGTTGATTTATCTATGAAAATCGTCTAACATGATCTAGTCATATTGAATCACACACGAGAGAATCCATTCATATAACAAATGATATTGTTTTTAAAGAATGTTTATTTTCCATTCTCTATCCATTTTGGCCACAATCATGCCCATAAGACAGATAAAATACTAAAAACTATAGATTTGAGAATATTTGTAAATATATGACTGATAGGCAGGATTTATAGATTGATGTCAGATGCAAATTACTCTTTTCTACATACCAACCCAAATGAACCTCGTATGATATATTTAACAGCTAAACCACATATCAAAACAGCAATTACAAAATCTAGGAAATGATGTGAAGTAGAGACACAAAATCAGAAGAAATCAACATGAATGCAATCAGAATCAAATGAAAATAAAGGATCGCCACGAATTACCCAAAAAATAAAAAATCATTGACTAAACTGAGTTTGAGAAAACAATCTCTTCTACTCTTAAGTTAATTAGTACAGGTTTTAAGACATTTATTTGTCAATGGTGCGACTCAAATTCTAAATGAAGCGGGCATCTGATGCTTGAATAAACCCTCCAAAAGCACCTTATGTGAGGAATTTAGCGACCCCAACTATTCAACTTTCACATAGAAACAGAAAAGCTCACTCACTCACTCATCTAACCACCAAGCAAGTCAACACATGTATGAATTCAACTAAGTAAGTCATCATCAGCATATGCAAACTCTTCTTCACCTTCTCAGAACCAAAGAACAACATAACATAACATAAAAAAATAAAAAATGAAAAAGTAAATTTATACAAAAAAAATTTTTTATACCCACCAGATAGTTCAAACAATGAAAATTCAAGAGCCATAAACAGTACAAAATTCACAGGAACTGAATATAATCAGAAGTTGACCAAACCAAAAAGGAAACAAAGTGAAATCAGAAGATGAATAAGAATAAAATCCGTAGTGTGAGTGAGAGGAGCAGTGAACGAACCAAAAGCTTGAAGAAGAGAGAATAAAGACTTAAGTTTACAAAAATTCAAAGAAAAGTTAGATAGAAAGAGAAGCGAAGAAAAAGGTGTTGTGTTGATGAAACAACCTTTGGCTTCGGAGGAATGGAATCTCGGAGAGAACAGAAAAAACGAGGAATCCAATTTTAGTTCTGAAGAAAGAGAACCAAATAAAATAAAAACATAAAGGGTAAAGTGATAATTTACTACGTTGGACCCACCGTGATGGTGACACGTTTGATTCATCGAGCTGACACGTATAATTTGGAATATTACATTCCACGCAATAAGTTCTCCCCAGTTTAACGCCGTTGCGTTTTGTCATCTATGCTATCGAACCTATGAACCACGAAGACTTCAAATTCTGATGTATTATGCCTGATACTTTGACATTCTAATACTCGTTGTAAAGACTTAAAAAAGGTTCAAATGTTATATTGCGTTGCATTTTGAATTTCAACTATTAGATTCATTAGATTATAATTACAATTTTATTCAATTTAACATAAACATTTGAGATATATTATGTTTCTTTGCAAAATTGATGGGTATTATAAGTTTAGCTTTATTTTTTTTTAAATTATTGATACTAGATATAATATACACTACATAAATTAAAAATATTATATAATATCAAAACGTGTCCTAACGTGTCGAAATGTAATATTTTTTAGAATTAACGTGTCGGAGTGTCGTGTCATATCCCATGACTCGTGTCAGGGTCAGTGCAACATAGATCGGAACTTGAGATTATACGAAAAAATAATGCAAAACAAATGAAATGATGTTACTCCCATGTATTTATACAATATAAAGTTGTATAAAATTAAGAGTAAACACCATTTTTAGTCCCTGGCAATATCTACGAAGTCCTTTTCAGTCCCTGACAATAAAAAAGGACCAAATTGGTCCCTGAAAGTACAAGAAAAGGGCCACTCTACATATTTGGGAGTTTTGACATAAGGACTAACATGGCCCTTTTTTTGTAATTTCAGGGACCAATTTGGTCCTTTTTTATTGTCAGGGACTAAAAAGGACTTCGTAAATATTGACAGGGACTAAAAAGGGTGTTTACTCTAAAATTAACTTACAAAAGTAAGAGGAGATTAAATCAGTAAATTATCACTTTAAATATAAAATAATTATGTAACACAAATATCTCATGTGTTATAAGAATGTTTTCAACCTATGTAGAGAAGTTTGTATTAAAAAATAGTAAAAGCTAAGTAAGGCCACTCGTTTCCATCTCGTCTTCAATAGGTGAAATTGTCTGCGGTCAGCTTGAACATGTCTCCATCATTGGTTATGCCACTGGTCTCCATCTCGTCTCCCTGAGAACCCGCCGAACTCGGGTTCTGATACCACTGTTGGGAACTCAGTTCCCTCAAGCTTGGCTTCTACAACCTTTAGCGAAAGTCAGTCAGCAAGATCCTGATCTCAGATCTCGACAATACATCGGCCTGAATTTCACTAGGTCGGGCAGCGCAGCGGAAAATCAAAACGAAAAATCACAAAACAAGAGAGAGAAAGAGAACACAACCAGATTTAACGTGGGAAAACATTTTCCAATGAAGAAGTAAAAACACACGGGACCTAGTCCAGATAAAAAATCCACTATGAAAAATAATGGTTACAAAGAATCAAGATTCACCAATGTGGTGGTTAACATAACCTCTCCAACAATGGTGATAGTCAAACTCCCCTAGAGATGTTTCATTCAAACTCTCTCTAGAGATCTCTCAAATACAAAGCATGAAGCTTTTCTCAAATAATTTTCTCTCAAATTTCTAATCTCTCTCTTCTAACCTAGCCTCCACCTTCAACTAATGAATATATAGAGGAGGTGAAATTTAAGGTTTAAGATTTAGAGTTTTTGAAAAACTCCTCAATGAGCTTGGGCTTAGCATTGAAGAAGGAAACCCAACAGATCTTTCCTACGCAGATTATAAACTATTCTTTTTGTCCCTGCAAAATATTTGCTTCGTGCATTAGAATGAATTATGTTAATCATAGGACGCCACAATACATAACAATAACTGGAAATATTTTCTATGTACAGGACCACTCAACAACTTGGTATTTCCTTTTACAACATAAATTTTTCTTTCTCATTTAATCCATGTTGTTTTTCATCTTTTCTATTTTTATCCTCCCATTTATGTTAAGGACTATCCAAAAAATATTGTCCCGGATCATAAAAAATCTCTCAACAATAACTAGTTCACATGAACAATGAGTTTATCTGGGACAAAAAAAAAATCAAGTGAGGTGAGAAAGCCTTAAGTGGAACTATTTGACTTTGTGCAAGGAACACTAGGAAAAAGTATAGATTGAGCTCCATTTTTTATTGTATATGTAAAAGGAAAATATTTTCTCATGTAACATGATAAAATATTAATCTATATATATATATATGTGTGTGTGTGTTAATATTTCTCTTATGTTGCATAAGAGAAGTATTATCTCATGCTCAAACAATAATTAGGAGAGAGAAAAAAGTTGAAGGTGAGAGAAAAAAATTTGTGGGACCCATTTAAAAAATGTTAGTGTAGGAGATAACAATTTTTTTATGTAACATAAGAAAAGTAATTTTCATATATATGAGGTAGGATTTTTTGATACCAGTGTCAAATTTTAAATTTGACACCTCATCTAAGAGCCATTAGATCAAAAAAAGATCAACGACTATGATTTGTAATCATGTAACACCATTAATCTTTTTTTATCTAATGACTCTCAAATGAGGTGTCAAATTTCAAATTTGACACCAGTGTCAAAGGATGCTGCCTATATATATATATTTATATATATATATATATAGGCTTATCATTTCTCAAGCTGCTTGAGATAATTTTATCTCCGGCTACTAAATCATAACCGTACAAAGATGGATCAATGGTGATAATGGAAGAGAGAGAAACGGGGAATCATAATCATTCAAATGTAAATCAAGTAATATAAGAAAATAAATAAATAAAATGACGTGATTTTGGAGTGGCCGGAGATAAACTTATCTCAAGCTGCTTGAGAAATAGTTTTCCTTATATATATATATATATATAAAAAACTCTGGTTTACGACGTAGAACTCTTACTCCTTATCTCAACCAGTGTTTTAGATCTCGCCCCAGCCCGGGGTCGACTCATCCGGGTCATGGACCCTCTCTCTCTGAGGGTTCGGATTAGTAGTTAGACCTTACTTGCACGTTGACCCTTTTAACCCCTGAAATCCCCAGTTGAACCCGTGACTCCAAGGTCAGAGCGGTCACTGCATTTTTTCTTAAAAAAAAAATTATACACTAAATGACATTGTTTGATGTGTAAAAGAAAATAAAACAAAACAAAAACTCGATGCTGCCTATAATTAGAACTAGATCTGAAATCTAAATCGTTTTTATTCTCTTTCGATCTTCTCTCCCAGACCCAGATCCAGTCTCCCTGTTTCAGTGATCTCCTCCAATATGCTGGTTCTTCTCTCCCCACCGTTAATTTGTCGTGTCGCCGCCTCTCCTCCGCTATTCTCTATTGGGTAATGGATCTCCTTTCACGTACTGTTGTAAGTACCTGAGAAGAACAAGAAGGGTCTGAATTTAATGATATAACTTTTCATTAACTCCATTCGGATATGTGTTTTATACTTTGATAGTTTGATACTTTGATTAGCTAGTGAATATTGACTTGTGGATGTAATTGGTTGAATTATGTTAGGTATATTTTGAATCTTTAATGATTGGTAGTTTGATTTTTTTTGATTTTTTTATATAGAATATATATTTAATTTTTTTAACGTATAAAACCGAGTCAACGAAGTGACCCCGTGACCCCAGACCTCTGCCGAGTCGATGGCTGGACCGGGTTTTTAAGCACTGATCTCAACTGTTGATTTCCATCTATCTAATGGTACGATTATAGTTTATTTAGTTGCACCAATCAATTAATTATTAATTTTAAACAAATGATAACTGCTAGATGAACGAAAATCAACGGCTGGAATGGGGTCTAAGACTTCTATGTCTTACACCAGAGTCAAAACGTTCTTTATATATATATATATATATATATATATATATATATATATATATGATAAAATCATTTCTACAGCCGCTTTACGAACAACAATGACATGTGTATGGTTATGATTCCCCATATTTAATGCTTTCATCTTTTGTATGGTTATGATTCCTCACATTTAATACTTTCACCTATATATAGGGCAAGTATTTGATTGCTGCACATACAGCCAACGGCGGACCTACATGTGTTCTTATGTCTGCAATTGCAGACATTAATTTTCTGGAATATAGCTCGATTTTTCCTTCGCTTGGTTCTTGTTACACACAAATAATTTATAGTACTTAAAAGAAACAAGGAAAATTTTTCCTCCAAGGACGGGTAAGAAGGATCAACATTTGGGGAAACAACTTGCTTTTGAGCTGTCACTGAAATATGATTTGAGGTGCTTGCCGTAGAAGTTTGACCATTTACTGGATTCTCAGCATCAGAGGATACATCCACTAATGACAAATTGGATGAACTCCTCTCCAGTCTCTCATCTGTATCTTGTTGCATCATGTTCAATGTTTAAACCGTTGTTTCTGAGGCCAAGGCATGCTCCTTGTCATTCCTACCACCAGTGTTTAGAGCTATATGCAACGGCGGATCCACCACTAAATGTGCAGACACAAATACAATTTCCTGGGTCCGCCACTGCATACAGCAGCTGCAGAAATATAAATCCCTATATATATATGGGAAAAGTATTTCTCGAGTCACCGGAGATAAAGTTATCTACAGTGAGCTCAAAACGACGTCATTTTGGGTTATTAGATTAAAAAACTATAATGATAAAGACTAATATAACCCTGCAGTATATTATAATTACAAAAACACCTTGATTTCCGCCCCAAAACGATGTCATTTTGAGCTCACCGGAGATGGAGAAACCTTTTACCTTATATATATATATATATATATATATATATATATATATATATATATATATATATATATATAGCCAACCCAGTTCAAACCCACTGCGTGAGTGTTTGGAGAAGGGCAAATACGAGTCAAGCCTTACCCCTGACTTTGCAAGGAGGCCGAGTCGAACCCAGGACCTTGGACATCACGGCAAGCAAGCTTATCGCTGAGCCAAGCCGGCCCTTCATATATATATATATATATATATATATATATATATATATATATATATAAAAGATAAATTAATTACATAACCACCAAAAATCCATATTTTAGTTTTCAAATTACAATTACTATGCCATGATATAAAATTAAGTAATCATAATTATTATTTTTTAAATCATCTAGTATCTCGTCGTCAATGAACATTCGCTAATTTGGATATAAGTCGAGCAGGATTTTAAATGTGGCAAAATTTTCCTTATCAAATTTTAACACAGCTACAAAACTCAAGACTCGAATCCACTATCACAGATTAAACTGAAACAACTCCCCGTCAATTCAGTAAATTAAGTAATCATTTACCAGAAAATATCCGATTTGTTTAGCAGGAGAACAATAGGGTAAAATGTCAAACTACACAACCATATATAAGAAATTGAACCCTTTATTGTCACATATATATGGACTTCATCTGTGAAACCAGAGCAATAGTTTCGTCAAAATGGTGAACCGGCTGGGAACGATTGCCATCGTCTTGTCATTGTTCGAGTGATCATGTAGCATTGGGTAAAAGTATTACGAGTCAAAGAAGAGTTTGTGTCACCGCCTTGCTTAGAAATATGGAAATAAAATTTCAATACGTTATACTCTTCTATCAATCAGTGGTTGCGATTTAGATTGATAGCGATGCCTAACGCCACATTGATCTTCATATTGGTGTCCATAACCAACACAATGAATTAAATAGCACGGGGTTAAATGTATATATTTGCATTGCAATTTTTTTATTTTCTCAACCCCAAAATCCTTAATCACCCGCGTAAATTTTTCCTTAATATATGGTTTTGCAGGATCTTCAGCTGCTGACTTTTCTACTGTGCAACTACAAATGTCCACTTGATTTTCAAGTTACAACTAACCATAACATCCAGAAACATGGATCTTTCAGTCCTTATCATGTATTAAATATATCGACATATATAGAAAACACACGCAATCTCTTTCCACCGTAAATTCAGAGACCGACTTGAAATCAATGGAAAATCATGTATGAACTGTGTTTGGAATTGTTAAATCATATCCATTAAATAAATATCGTTTAAATCCAATTAAATTTAACATATTTCTATACTTACATAATGAAAATTGAAATAATTATATATTTTTTTAATATTTGAAACAAAACGTATTATTCCCAAATTGTGTGGCTCCAAGCATAATAAAAGAGATGCTAGACATTAATCAAGCAAGTGGTCCTTGGTGTTTTGCAGGGCATGAAATGGAACGATCTTTAACCGCATGTTAACTTTTTTTTTTTTTTTTTTTTGGAAATATTTCAATCGGTTCATTGCTTCGCAACTAATTCGATTCAGGACAGGTCGAGAATTAAGACTTTAAATCTCTTCCAAAGACAATACTGGGGAGATTCGAACACATGCTCTCACCGCATGTTAACTTTGCATTAAAAAGAATCGAGGGAAAAAATTCAAAGAAAAGGGTTTGAATGAACATTAATCTTGATTGATTCCTTTATGGAAAAAAAAAATTATCACTTCAACGTTCTAAATAGGAGTGAGCATTTTGCACCGATTTCAAGTGATATTTATAAATTTTTTGTTTACAAAATTATAGGTAGTACATTCACGTATTACCCGTACTACATAGTGTAATTTGTAAATATAATTTTTTCCTTTGTATTAATCTATATTTATATTTACATGGACTAAATTTTGAAAAAAAAAAATCTAGCTATATAATTAAGGGTTTTACTTCTCTCGTGTAATAGGAGAGAAGTTATCTTACGTTATGAGATAAATAAAATGAGACCATCATTTTTTAAAAAAGAAAAAGAAAAAGAAAACACATTTTTTTATGTGAATGTAATATAAGATATGAATCTCATGCAACATGAGAATATAATTTTCCTATAATTAATTCATTTATATGAAAGAGTTATATATTAAATAACTATCTCAGTGTTCTAAAATCCAGCTCGGACATACAAGTTCAACTCGGAAACAGGTCCAGCAGTAATGCGGGCAATCTGAGTGCTATAGTCTATAATAGATCGGTTGAGCTCATGAATCGGATTTAACTTATGGAATTACTAGGCTCTAAAAGAGAATCATGCCATGAAATGAAGGAGAGACAAACAAAATGGGAGTAAAAATTCCATCCTGAATGCATTGTCTAGTGGAGGAGATTAAATATTACCATTGTATCTTTAAATGCAAGATCATCAAATAGTATGTTGAGTTAATTATTTTCTTAAACCCCAATGAACCTATTTGATTGAATTGAACTTAGTAATCCAATAACCGAGTACTCTAACAAGTTTTATAATATTATTTATGTGCATTTGGAGTGAAAAATTTATATCGAATTCGTGTTCGACCAAAAACACTATCCCCTCAACTGGAATTCGATGCAGTACCCTATGATTCCCATTCATGTTCCAAGATGACAAAAAGAAAAAAAAAGGAAAAAAAAAAGAACCTGTAATGTGCAGACTGCAATTTCAGAGTTTGAGTTTACAATGCATGTCCTTATCATTACAGAATTGAAGTCCAAAACAAAGAAATATAATAGAATCATGGGAATTTACGAAACTAACGAGCAGGGAGAACCTTGTTAACAATGTCCTGACTGAGAGCAGCAATCTGAGAATCAAGGGACTTAATAGTCTCTTCCTTCTGTTTCTCCAAATTAGCCAAAGCCTCTTGCAACTCAGCTTCCACTTTCTGTCTACCCTCAGCGATCTTCTGATCCACCTCAGCTTGTGTTTCCTTCTTCATCTGATTCAGCGCCGCCGCTATCTCAGCCGTTGCCGCCTTCATCACCGCCGTGGCCTGCTCCTCCAGCTGCTTCACCTCCTCAGAGGTGTCCTTCACGCTGTTCAGCTTCTCACGAATAGCAGCGTCCCTTTCGTCCATGAAATTCCCAAGTGGGGTGAAGTATACCTTGTCCAAGGCCACCATGAGGAGAAGGAACTCCGCCATGATGATGGGTAGGGTCAGGTTGAAGTCAAAGAGTGCAGCTTTCTCGATTTCTTCAGCGAGGGAGGGTGGTGCGGCCACGGCCAGTGGCACCGCCGCGAGGGAGAGGAGTTTGAGGGTTTGGAATGGAGATGGGATTCTGACTCTGATTTTGGGGAGTGATATCTTGGAAGCTTGTATGTTGAGGAGTTTAGGTTTGAGAGAATTGGTGGAAACTGGAATCAGAGATTTGGTGGAGGAGGCAACAATCATGTTGGCCATGTTTGCAGCTTTGGGATGTTTGTGACACACACACTCTCTTTGTCTCCCACACACTAAGGATTATTGTAAATGTGAAAGAAGGAAAAGGCAAAAGGGACTAGGATTTGGGACTAGGGCTATCCAAATTCTTTGCCACACAAATGGGTGTGTGTGAGAGTGAATGGCCATTGAGGAGGATGGACACTGACAAAGGAGTGGCATGGATTTCACACGTGTGAGGAGTGGAAAAGTTTTCCCTTTTCTAAAATTTCGGGTCAGGTCAAGTGTTTTCTTGAATGAAGCGGCCCACCCACCAGGTTTACTCTTTGCAGGCCCAAGTTTTTTAATGTCCATGTTACTTTTCTTTATTCCAAAGCCGTGTAAATATTCCAGAGCCATATTCAAGGAATAAAGGAAGGTTATGATAAGATACAAACTAAATTCAGAGGAAGTTTTTCGAAGTTCTATGGTACGTTTTCCTGAAAAAGTTTAAAAGTATGAAGGTAAAAATACATTTCACGTGAGAATAAACCACAGTATTTTGTCCGATGAAGACATTGACGTGTCTACCCCTGAAAGAACCAAAGCAACTTTAAAACTCGCCAACCGAAACCATCTTTTTTGTAGAGAATAAAATCACCAAAAAGAGAATGTGCAATTTCTACCGTAAAGAACCATTTCAACCAAAATGATAGCCTTTTTAATGGTTTATGAGTGTCAGTGAAGATCAAACTCGTGACTTTATAGTCACTAAAGCTTTGATATCATGTAATCATTCCAACTGAAAACCTTAAAATATTGGGTGATGGTATTTTTAATTATTTATATTATTCTCTGACATCTACAATCTCAGTGCGATCTCAATGAATGCATGCAGCAATACAAATTTCATACAAACTCCGTTTGCTAGGAATCAAAATCTTTACAAGGATCTCAGCTTTTATATGTTATGAGCGTTACTGGACGTGTTCAGAGGTAAGAAACAGATTTCTCCCAAATATTAATGTTGTCTCCAAGGATAATGCCGCCTCCTGCCAAAGCATACAATCCTTCTAATCTTTCTAAAACTGCTCAGTAAACATCTGGGAATCATGGATGAGTAAATCCTTTTAGTTCTACTTTTTCTCACAACTGTCAGCGGGGTGTATGAAAACAAATCTCCCAGAAAGCCAGTTAACTTGTTCTTTCCAACACGCTCTTCTTCTTTAATGCAATGCTCGATGTTCCCATTTTCTATGGCTTCATCATCATCACAACCAATTTCATCATCATCACAATTTCCTTTGGGCTGATAGCTATTAACTTGAGATGACCTGCACCTTACATTTATAAACATCTGGCTAGTGTAAGGACTTGTTTCAGAACAATACCATATCAACTGCATGAAATATTTATCTAAACGATGTTCATATCCACAATTCTTCCAATGTAGAAGTAGTTTCTATATCCTTTGATTGAAAATATTAATTACTAACATAATAATCATTTGTAGGACCTCGGCAGCTCCAAATTCCTTTCTTATTTGCAATAAGGTTAAATTAAAACTTTGGTCCAATAGTTTTCATTCATTTTCAATTTAGTCCCTATAGTTTTTCTTTTTAAATTAGTCATTACACTTAAAAATATTTTCAAAATAGTCCCTGCCATTATAACGCCGTCATTTCCAATTTAAGTGTTTCTTTGTCTTGTCATTCATTTTCAATTTAGTCCCTGTAGTTTTCCTTTTCAAATTAGTCATTACATGTTTTCAAAATAGTTCCTCCCGTAATAACATCATCAGTTAGTTAACTCTGTGTTTCTTTGTCCCGTAGGTGCTCCTTTAGATACCTTTTTTTCCCCCTGTAAGACATCCAATAGGTGCTCCTGTTCCTGTAGCCTGTAGGAACTCAGTTCTCTTCAGTATGTGCTCTTTTGTTCAGTAGATGCCTTCTCTCTTTTCTCTCTCTATTTAAAATGTCCGGTAAGGACAAAATTGATGATGTTATAACAGATAATGGTGGTAGGGATAATTTTTGAAAACATTTGTAAGTGTAAAAAGAAAACACTTTATTTTTTTATTTGTAAGCGTGAGAACTGATTTGAAAAGTAAAAAATTGTTGGGACTAAATTGAAAATGAGTGGAAACAATAGAGACTGAAGTTTTAATTTAACCTTTCGATTATATACATTTAAAAATCACATCTACTTATTCCAGTATGTGGCATAGAACTGACTGAAGAGGTAAACTGAGGGTAGAAAAAGCAATGTAGTATGTTAAGCATATTTAAAAATAGACGCATCAGCTGCAGAACCAAGTATCTGTTCATTTAGACTAGTAAGAGGCATTTCATATATTGCAGCAATTCAGTATTGTAAAAAATGAGATAAAAATTATTAGCTAGCTAGAGCTGATGTTCTATCCAGAAGTACACAGTATCTAACAGCTCAAAGAAGTAAATCAGAGATAAACCCCTAATGAAAGCATCTGCACGTTAGTTAATTGTGGCAGAAAGCAGATGGAAACGCAGTAATTTGCAATATGTGATAAGATGATATAAAATAATGAGGAAAAATCAAGTATTCAAGGGGCAAATTCAGATCCTTGTGTAGACCACCGTGATTTCAAATATTGTTAACTACTGACAAAGTGGTAAACGTAATGCCAAACATGTTAAAATTCAAGCATATGACAAACAGAAGATATTTCCATAAACCTTAAATAAAGATTTATGAAGAAACTGATTATTTATATCTCATTGGTTATTTTTGACATTTTCCTGATGATATATATGGACTTCCTCAACCAACTGAGGGACAGGCCAAGATCAACAACTAGTGCAACCTGGCAAACAACATGTTGGTGCCCTGGATCACGCAGGAAACAGAATAATATTTGCATAAATTATCAAAAGAGACCATGGAAAATTTTTACCTCCTGTGTTGTTTCAAATGGACAACTCGTTTCTTCATCCGCTTTCTTTGAATACCCCAACTGTTTGAGACATGGCGGATGAAACGAAGCTATACATACAAAACAAAATAACTAAAATGAGCAACAGACTTCTAACTAGAACACAATACAGCAGTTATGCAAAAGGAGAAGCAGTCCTTAATAACAATGATGGGATACTTGGTTCTTAACTTTGACAACTGATAAGAAACTAGAACAAGAGCAAATTAAATTCAAATGGGCTTCAAATTTCCTTTCCCATACACCAGTTGCAGAAAGCAACCATGAAATACTACTGAAACCATAAGATGCTAGAAAAGAAAACAAATCTCAAAGTTACCAACCCACCAACTATATGAGACTTGAAATTTAGACTTACTTTTGCAATGATAGGCAGATTGTATTCTACCCTGATTAAAGTCACATGATTCACAAAATTATCATCAAGCTTTCTCTTTCAAAAACACTGATTATAAACTAACCATTTATGTCTATTCACATCACCTTTTGGATAATAATTACACATACAAATACATGCATGGAACACATGGATCAATTTGGATAATTCAGCAAAGAATTACACTAAATGGTGTAGGTTTAGATCAAGCTGGCAGTTAAATAAATCTAAAAGCCTTAAAGTTACAAACCTGGTCACCATCCTTGATGCCATAATCTCTAAGATAATCCTTCTCTATAACTAGCTTCTGTCCATCATAGCTTAAGCAAAACTGCCCCCATACATGCGGCCTTCACAACCCAACGTAATAAATAAATAAATAAATAACCATATACAAAATCAGACAACAGATTACAGAAATCAAGTAATGTTAGGAACTGCAGAATAAAAAACAATATCATCCCACTTCTGATCCATGAGTTCAAAAAGGGAAGAAAAAAAAATCCAGCATGTATATCCAACTTGAAGTATTTAACAATTATGAATTTTATGACATAAAAATCCACAGAAAAACATGCTAAAAAAAATATACAGATTAGTAAACTATGGTCTGAAAAGAGTTGAGTAATAATAATTAATTAATTAATACAGTAACACACCATGAGATTGTTCCTGGCCCCTTCTGAGGCACGTGACTAAACACCGCCTCCACTGCGTCCTTAAGTTCAGCAATAGTTGATGTTTTAGAAACTTGAATATCTGTAAAGCGCGAAGAAACTCTCTTGCATCGCATCAATTTACCAAAAAAACATACAAATAAAAAATAAAAAATAAAATAAAAATAATTACCGAAGCAAGAGCCGTCCAATTTGAGAACGGAGAGTCTGAAGGGTTGGGGAGGAAGCCTATCGTAGAAGAAGCTTTTCCTGGAAAAGATGCCATCGATGATTGCAAGTGTTGGAAATTGCATCGCTCGTGATCGTCGATGGCTCTTCTCGTCGGCCACTATCAACATAGTCTCAGGCTCCGCCATAGCTTAGAGCTATGAAGGTAGTAGGTAGTAGGTGTCTCTCTATCTCTCTCCCTCAGCAGCGCAGGGTGAAGAAGCGAGTCATGTAGGCATGGAGATGGTGTTTATAGAAGGGAGAAAACGGTGAGATTCTTGGAGCACAGAAACACGCATTGTGTAAATGGAGTCAGGAACTGTGATGCTGCTTCTGTCGGGGAGATTCCAGTTCCAGAGAGATTGCTTCGAGTCTCAATGCATAGAGAGAGAGAGAGAGAGAAGCTTAGTGGAGAAGGAAGATAACCGTTACACGCGCCGTACAGAACATTCTTTTAGCGGGCTTGGCCTTGGGCCTGTCCCTCTATTAATTACCTATCTATCTCTATATATATAAAGATCTTCTTAAAATGGATAATTTAAAGGAAAAAGGAAAAATGTATCATTTTTCTTCCTGCTCATGCTAGTTAAAAAAAAATGTAATATTTTTTAAGAAATAGCATAATAAAAAACTAAATCAATAAGACTAAGGTAACGATTAGAAATAATTTGCATTAAATTGTATGTTTCAAAATACGGTACAAAGATCAAAGTGTTACTGATCAGACCAAATACAGTATGGACTGTCCGATACGTATTGAGTCTAATCATACACGGTTGAGACTCTTTCAGTGGTTATTGTCCTGGGCCAGGTACTGCTGTTAGAGCGAGCTTGAGCCCTTTGTCCTTCACATTGCACCAAATGGGGGGTACCTGCGAAGACACTCTGATGCTAAGTCAGTATCAGAGGCAGGTGTTTTATGTTGTGAAAGTAAAGGATGATCGTACCTTGGCGGTATATCGTGTGTTTATATAGTAGTTGTGATGCCGCCTTTGTTAAGGCGACATGGCTTCTGAGTGGCCAGCCTTGGGCTGCAGGTCAAGCAAGGGACCTGTTGTAGCCTTATCTTCCATAGTGTCTAGTAGTAGAGTTGTAGCGAGCTGGAGCTGTCTGTTGCTTACTGGTGCTATGGCGCGGTGGAGTTGCCTTGGGCCTTAAGTTTACTTCCTATAGAAGGCATCACATGCAAGGTGAGATTCGTGTGTCGCGATGAGGCCATCGCGTCTTGTGTGCCGCGATATGGGCAACGCGTCCGTGCTTGTTCCTTGTGCTTTGTTCTGGGTCTTTACTGGGCTTGGGTTTCCATGTGTTACTGGGCCCTGATTAGGCCTATATTTTATCTGGATCAGTTGCCCCCTAGCTTGCGGTGTTGTCATTTGGCAAGGCCATGAGCTATATTGTTCTTGTATGAGGTGCGATAGTTTGTCACTCATATGTCCTTTTTCTGTGTGCCGCGGTAATTATGCCTTATAGTGTCATCATGACCTTCAGCCGCTTAAGAACGGTGGATTAGACGTCTAATCATTCAGGAGCATTAAATGTTGTTGTGATTACGTGGGGGTTTAAGGACAGGCGTGGGTGGTTTTGTAAGTAAAACGCTTCCCCTTCCTGCCATGTGTCCCTATTAACCTGTTGTGTTTAACACGTTTCGTGGCTTTTGGTCTATCCGTTGGAGAAAACCCTTCGTATTTGAGCCTTTTCGTTTGAAGGGAAAATTATTTCGGTGACATTGTGGAAACTCTCTCGTCTCTCAGAGCTCTCTTCTGCATTTTTGGTGGTGACACGTCTTGCTCCTGGTGTGAACTTCTGAAGTATAAAGCTCAAGTTTGTTCTTTCTTCTTACCCCCTGTTTTATCTGTGTTTCTTTCATCTTGTTCAGCATTTCCTTCTTCGTGTTTGTGGCATGTCTGATAGTCGCAAATATGCGAATTTTATCAGATTTTTTGAACGGTCTGGTTCGTCCAATCCTCCTTCGGGATTGTTACCAAGATCAAGGTCTTTGGGAACCAGGGATAAAAGGCCTATTGTAGGAAGTCTAGGCCCCTGTTCCAAAGCTTATGCTAGGCATGTCCCCTCAATTTGTACGTTTGAACTAGGGTCATCTTCGCGACAACCTAATCGCGGAAAGACATTGTCGGAACATAGTTCGTCTGTGCTTCCTAAGTTTTCTTTGAACATGTCTAAGCCCATTGTGATATCGAGTGGCTCCTCTTCAAGTACTGAGAGTAGGTATAAATCAGTTGATTCGAAAAGCCCCAAATCGCCTTCAAATTCATCGCGCGATTCTTCTTGTTCCATCGCTTATGAGTCTTTTGGTCGAAAGAGCCCTAGTCCTTTGCCTTTAAATGTGATTTATTCAGCCGAATATCCTTTTAAGAAAAGGAATTTTGCTAATTATAAGTCTGTTTCTGCTGACTTGTCTTCTTCCACTGATTCCTCTTCTTCTGAATCAGATTTCGTGTCTCCTCGAATCAGGGAAATCATGGCAAAACGCGGTGCTCATGATAAGAGGAAATTGAAGGCGCAATATGATGCCAAGAAGAAAGCTGTGCGCATTAGTCCTGATGAAGAACCTCCAGAGACGCAGTCCCTTAACAGGCAAAACATACGGGATGTGGATACCCTTGATTGGGTGTCAGATTCAATTTTGAAGATTGAGTCAGTATTCTGTTCTCCAAGAGAGTTGGCAAAAATGACTACGGCCCTCCATCTAACCCCTGATAAAGCTTTCGATGATCAATGGGAGATTGGAGTCGTCCCGAAGAATGAGCGCGTTTGTTCATTGCGGGCCGAAGGATCGACCAGACATTTCATGATGATGTATTCTTTCTTTTTTATGTCCATAGGTGTTCATTTTCCCTTTTCCTCCTTTGTTTGTAAACTTTTGGCGCACTTGAATGTGGCGCCCTCACAACTGACCCCCAATGCCTGGGGTTTTATCAGAGTGTACAAGAAGGTGTGCAAGGCCTATGGCCTTTTCCAATCTGTACCGTCGTTTTTGTGTATGTTCAGTGTAATGGGTCCTCGTAATAGCTAGATATCCTTTAGGAGCAAAGTAAAATTCCGTGGGTCTTATTGTAGAAAAATTAATAAATGGAGCACAAAATATTTCAAGATCTATCCCATCGAAGGTACCAAACCTTTTTCATAGGCGAGGATGGGACTCCTATCTTTCCCTTATACTGGTCTGAGTATCCTTCGAGTAGTTCCGTTTTAAGCTATATCTTTACTGACTTGAGCGATCTAGAGCAGAAGACGGTGACTGCTTTAGGTAAAATTGCTCGTGAGGCTTCTGATACGGGCTCGCTGGATACGTACACTATTTTAAACGAATACTCTGAGGATGACATTCGAGCTTATCTGGGTAATGTGAATCCTTGCTCATTTTCTAGATGTTTTGATCTAAGTATCTTTGTATATTGCGATGTGTAGATATAATGGAAGTATGCTTAATAACCCATTTCTTTGTTTTGTTTCGCAGATAGTGCAATGATGGCGTCTGTAAGCAACATGGAGCAAATAGCTGCTAATCGCGCAGCTCTCGCTGGTTCCTCAACATCCTCACAACCTACCAGGTCTGCTGCTGTTGTTGCTGTGTCGAGTGGGCATGCTGCCGCGCAGTTAAAATCTCCCTTGAAGCTCCGAACTCCTCCTCCTACCCCTCAAGAAGTTATTCACCCTCTGGTAGTGGAAGAAGTCGCCGCGAAGGGTAAGAAAAGATCCTTCGAGGAGATGACCGATGGATCTACTGCAGGGTGGCCAGATTTTGGTTGGAGTTTGGACCACGCTATGCGTGCTCAAGGCCGGGAATTCGGCTCTCGTCTTGAAGCGCTACTACGAGATCAGTGGCGACAGATTTTCCAAAGTTTGATCACAACGGGTCAATTTATTATGACCGCGCCTGGTGAGTAACTTGGTATTCTCCTTGTTGTAAAATATAACATCGTGTTTGTATGTATAACCTTTTTTGATATATGACAGAGTCGGTGAACTTTCTGAAGTAGCGCATCAAGGAGCTGAAGAGTGAGAATGCTCAGCAGCGCGCTGACTCAGAGGCCAAGTTAAAGACTATTGAAGAAGAAATAGCCAAACTGAAGGTGGCGCTGGAGAAGAAAACTAGTGCTTTGAAGGAGCTGACGACCTCCAACAAGGGATTGGAGGCAGAGAAGACTAACTTAAATAAGCGCGTCTTGGAGCTGGAGGGAAATGCTGATACCTAGGCCGATGAGAAGGCATTCTTGACCGGTGAGGTGAAGAGGTATCGGGATTTATTTGAGAAGAAAGCGGAAGCAACCTTCGTAAATTTAATGGAGCAGGTGCGTTTCTTCAATCCTTCTACCAAGCTGGAAAAGGTGCATTATTACCACTATTTCAAGGATGGTCAACTGGTAACACTTAATGAGCAGAATCAAGAAGTTCTAGTGGAGTTGATCAGTGTGATGGATACTGAACCTATCGCGCCATCCTTGCAAGAGCCATCTCCTCAAGGTCCTCCTACTGTCAATGATGATCGCGCTGCTGATAATGATGCCCCTCAGGATATGTCAATACAGACGGTTTAATGTCTTCTTCTGAAGTTTGTTGCTCTGGGTTGTATATTTTTGTAAGGGGAGTGTCCCCATATGTTCCAAAACAATGATGTGTTGAAGGGATTTTTCCCCCGGCCTTGTAACAATGAATTTTTGACTTGTCGGATATATATGATGTGTGTGTTGCTAGATGAATGCTTGCTTTTCTGTTTCTTGTATAATGTTTGTACTTGTATATGCTGTGAAGGGTTATTACCCTTCGCTTCTTTCTTCTTTTTGCTCTTTGCATGTTGTTCGACAGTCATACCTGTAATGAGTATTCATGACTATATACTGCGTGTAATTTCCATACCTTTGTTCTTTGGTATAAGTCTGGGTGTATCGCGCCTTGGATGGAGTTTTGCCCCAAGCGAGGCGTTTCCCATCTGTATAGCGCTAGTGTGTTTCTTTCTCCGCGATCATTCATCCTGGTAGATCGCTATGGAAGGTCATGTATCTGGAACTATGGTGTGTACGCCGTATGGTACTTGACCTTCATGTCTGTATGCTGCATGATTATACAATTTATAAGTCATATTGCAAATACTTTGCATACCTTTATTTGTTCATGTTATCGCGTTTGAGCATCGTGATATGTCTTGGGGGATCGCGACTTGAATAGTTCCGATATGTTGAGGAGATCTTTGTGGAGGAGTCTGTTGATTGGAGGATTCGTGGGAGACTCCTGATATTTGATAGGATCCATGATATTTGATAGGATCCATGAGAGGAGTCCTGTTAGTTGGAGGATTCATGAGAGAATCCTGATACTTGATAGGATCCATGAGAGGTATCCTGTGAATTGGAAGATTCGTGGGAGAATCATGTTACTTGATAGGATCATGAGAGGTATCCTGTGAAGTGGAGGATTCGTGAGAGAATCTTGTTACTTGATAGGATCCATGAGAGGTATCCTGTTAATTGGAGGATTCGTGAGAGAATCCTGTTACTTGATAGGAACCATGAGAGGTATCCTGTTAATTGGAGGATTCGTGAGAGAATCCTGATACTTGATAGGATCCATGAGAGGTATTCTGTTAATTGGAGGATTCGTGAAAGAATCTTGTTCATTAGGAACGCTGTGATCCTGTGTACTTAAGCTTGATACAAAATGATTAATAGCAAAAGGAAAATTGGCGATGTTTTTATTAAGAGAAAGAATTTGAAAAGATAAATATGTTGTGAGTCGTAAGAGACTTAGCTATAGAATGTCTTAAGCTTGTCCGCGTTCCATGTGCGTGGGATAGTGAGACCAGATAATGTCTTAATGACATATGCCCCCTTATCCGTTTTGTTGTAGATGCGATAAGGTCCTTCCCAGTTTGCAGCCAATTTGCCTTGTCGCACGTTCTTATTACCGATGTCAGCTCTGCGTAGGACTAAGTCACCCACGTTGAAGCCTCGTCTAACAACCCTTAAATTATAGCGCGCTGTTATTCTCTGTTTGAGTGCTATTTCTTTAACGTGCGCGATTTCGCGCATTTCCTCTATCGCGTCTAAGTTATGAAGCAATGCCTGTGAGTTGCTGTCTTCATTTGTGTACATATTTCTCCATGATGGTTCTTCAATTTCTACTGGGATCATAACTTCACTACCATAGACCATGCGAAATGGGGTTTCTCTTGTAGTTGAATGTTTGGTTGTCCTGTAACCCCATAGCACAAAGTCTAGCTGTTCAGGCCATTCTCCTTTTGCTGCTTCGAGTCTTCTTTCCAATCCGCATTTGAGGACTCGATTTGCAGCTTCTGCCAATCCGTTTGTTTGTCGATGTTCGACCGATATGTATCGGTGTTTGATATGCAAATTCTGAAGAATTTGATTGAATTTTCTGTCCACAAACTGTGTACCATTATCAGTTATGATGGTATGTGGAACGCCGAACCGACTTATGATTTGTCGGTAGAAGAATCGGTGAACCTTGCTGGCTGATATCGTGGCTAACGCTTCTGCCTCGATCTATTTGGAAAAGTAGTCAATTGCTACTAGCAACCACTTGACCCCTCCAATGGCGACTGGGAATGGTCCCAATATGTCCATGCCCCATTGGTAGAATGGCCATGGGGATAACATTGAAGATAATTTCTCTGGGGGAGCATGGTGTAAGTCTGTGTGCTCTTGACATTTGACACAATGCAGCACGTATTTTTTATAATCTTCTTCCATAGTAGGCCAAAAATATCCTGCACGGAGCAGTTTTCAAGATAAAGATTTTCCTCCCATGTGGTGTCCGCTGATTCCCTCATGTACTTTAGAGATTACGTACTGAGCCTGTTGGGGATCTAGGCATTTAAGCATTGGGGAAAGAAATCCCTTTTTGTAAAGCTGGTTGTTGATGATAGTGTAAAACGAAGCCTTGCGCGCTAGCTTTTTGCTGCGCGCGTTTCTTGTTGTGCTTCTCCTGTGAATAAATAATTCCAGATTGGTGTCATCCAAGTTTCTTTATCATCCAGTGGCATGGTGTCATACTCGACCATAGATTGCGTACCTGGGGATGGTTGAGCTTTTCGTTTGGTAACAGCCATTATGATGCTAGGACTAGGGACGCTTTGTTGGATCACTGTTCTGTTGTTTCCTGGTCCTTTTGTGCTAGCTAACTTCAATAAAATGTCAGCACGTGAGTTTTGCTCTCTGGGGATGTGCTACATTTTGAAGCTTTGAAACCCTGTCAGAAGTAGTCTCACTTTTTCAAGATACTTTATCATTAATGCCTCTTTCGCCTGGTAGCTTCCTTAGACTTGAGCAATTACTAATTGTGAATCGCTCTTGAGGGTTACGTTTGTTGCCCCCAAGTCTTTGGCCATGGCGAGTCCTGCGAGGATTGCTTCGTACTCGGCTTGGTTGTTTGAAGCTTTGAATCCAAAATGGATAGAATGCTCCATTGTAATACCTTGAGGACTTTCCACGATGACTCCTGCACCGCTCTCTTTGACATTGGATGATCCGTCGACATAAATAACCCAATCCTCACTTATCTCAGTCTCATGTAGGTGTGTCATTTCAACGAGGAAGTATGCTAATACCTGGGCTTTAATTGCTTGTCGCGGTTCGTAGATGATGTCGTATTCTGACAACTCTATTGACCACGAGATCATGCGGCCTGCTAAATCAGGTTGTCTCAGCACTTGTCGAAGGGGTTGGTTTGTTCAAACTTTGATAGTGTGTCCCTGGAAATAATGGCGCAGGCACTGCGATGTTAAGATGAGCGCGAAAACAACCTTTTCAATTTGTTGATAGAGCAGCTCTGGTCCTTGGAGCGCTTTGCTGACGAAATATATTGGTTGTTGTTCCTGGGCCTCCTCGCGCAGTAAAACAGCGCTTATGGCTTCATTGCTGACTGAGAGGTATAGAACCAGGGGTTCACTGGGTGGAGGTTTGACCAAGACTGGTGGGTTGGCCAAGTGTTCTTTGATGGCCAAGAACCCTTCCTCGCACTCAGGAGTCCAGTTGAAGTCTGATTGTTTGCGCAATAGTTTAAACATTGGCAGCAATTTTTGCGCTGATGCAGGAAGGAATCTGGTCAAGGCAGTGATTCTTCCTGTCAATTACTGTAGTTCCTTTACGTTTCGCGAGCTGGTCATATTGAGTATGGCTTTGCATTTATCAGGATTGGCCTCTATCCCGCGATGCGTGAGCATGAATCCTAAGAATTTACCAGCAGGTACTCCAAACGCGCATTTGGTTGGATTAAGCTGTAACCTGTACTTGCGCAGTTGTTGAAATACCTGTTCCAAATCTTGAGGATGTTGTGAAGTAGTCATTGTTTTGACTATCATATCATCGATGTATACTTCAAGCATCTGTCCAATCTGCTGACTGAAAACTTTGTTCATCATGCATTGATAAGTGGCACCGGCATTCTTGAGACCAAATGGCATCATGTTATAGCAGTAGGTAGCTTTTTCAGTGATAAAAGATGTGGCTTCCTCATTTGGTGTGAACATCGGAATCTGGTTGTAGCCCGAATATGCATCCACGAAGGATAAGATCTGGTATCCTGCAGAATTGTTAACCAGTTTATCGATGGTGGAAAGTGGATAAAAGTCCTTTGGGCAGTATTTGTTGAGATCTGTGTAATCTGTACACGTGCGCCACTTTCCGTTGGGTTTCTTGACTAGTACGACATTGGAAAGCCAAGTAGAGTACGTGATTTCTCTGATTACTCCTGCATCAAGTAGTTTTGCTACTTCGGTCTCAACCGCCTGTTGCTTCTCTGGGGAGATTTTGCGTTTTTTCTGTGCAACGGGTTTTGCATTGGGATCCACGGTTAAATGGTGACATATTATCCCCGGGTCTATACCTGGCATGTCAGCGGCTGTCCAAGCAAAAAGGTCTTTGTTCTTTTGCAACATTGTTATCAACGCGCTTTTTTCAGCTTATGGGAGGTTTCGTCCAATTTTGGTGGTGTTTTCGGGTAGTGGACCTATTTGGAGATTTTCCAACTCCCCATCTGGTTGAGGACGAGTATCGCCCAGATCTTCGCGCATGTCAAGATCGGTCATGTTGACTGATGCTTTACCTTTGTCATCAGGTTGTACAGGAGTTTTGGCTCTTAAACTGGTGTTATAACAGCTGCGCGCTGTTTTCTAGTCGCCTCTAATAGCAACTACCGTGCCAGACTTGTCACGAAATTTCATTAGAAGGTGAGGCACAGAAATGATTGCATTTAATGCGACAATGGTTGGTCTTCCTAGAATGATATTATATGCAGATGCATACTCAATGACATAAAATTTTACTTTAATAGTTCGGGCAAGAGGCATGTTTCCAAAAGTGACCCACATCTCAATGGTGCCTTTGGGTTGTACGCATTCTTCGGCAAAGCCAATTAGGTCCGAACACCCATGGAGGAAATGTTCCTCTGGGATATGCATCGCGCAAAAAGCATCCCAGAATATAATATCAGCTGGACTATCATTATCAATCATAATACGTTTTACCTGGAGATTAGCCATGCACGCTGAGATCACCAGTGGGTCATCATGGTCTGGTATGATGTGGCCATAGTCATCATTGTCAAAACTTATGGCCTGTCTTTGATCGCGAGAGGTGGATGGGCGTGCGTTATCGCGCACCGTCATTACTGATTTCAGATGCTTTTTTCGTTAAGATTTAGTTGCCCCCCTCCCGCTAATCCTCCAGCTATAGTGGCTCAAACTCCCGTCGCGTTATTGGGTAGACCATCGCGTTGTTGCTGCATGGTTCACTGTCTGTTTCGCGGTGGAGTTCCTTGACGTCTATCAGTTGACGTTGCTCTGTCATTTCTTCGATCGTTGTCCCGGGCCGAGTTATAGTTTCTCCTGGGTCGTGCCCTTTGTTCACTGGAATTTGCATCGTGATCTAGGCTTCTATCGCGCCTTCTTTGCGTCTTGTACTCCCTGCCGCTGGAAACGAATTCTTGAAGTTTTCCTTCTCTAATGAGTGTCTCAATGGTATTTTTGAGCGCGAGACATTCGTCAGTTGTATGAACTTTGTCGTTGTGAAATTCGCAAAATTTGGTTTCATCGCGCTGAACTCCTTTTGGCATTGGAGGAGGTCTGTTAACCCGTACATACCCTGTTTGGAATACTTCCTTTAAAATCTGTCTTTGGGATGTGTTTAAAGGTGCGTAACTGTTATATTTTCCCCACTTTCTTTTTTCACGAAATTTTCGTTGAAAATTCTTCTGGACATCTCTTTCAAAGTTGTTCGTGTTGGCCCTGGTGTTAGAAATTTCTCTTGAGCGCTTGTAATCTTCCAGGTTGATGAATTTTTCTGATCGTGCACGTAGTTCCTCTATGGTGCGCGGTCGCTGTTTGGCTAGCGACATAGAGAAAGGGCCTTCAACCAGTCCTTCAGTAATGATGTGTAGTGAGACTTGTGGATCCAAATCTCTGACCAAAAGTGCTTCATCGAAGAATCTGTTTAGGTAATCGCGCAAAGTTTCATTTGATTCCTGTCGAACCGTTTTCAGCACGTGCGTGGATTTGTATTGTGCTTTGCTCGTTGCAAATCGCACAAGAAACTGGTTGGTTAAATCTTCCCAACTTTGTATTGAATTAGGTGGTAGTGCGGAGTACCACCTAAGGGCTGTCTCTTTTAAGGTTGTGGGAAATAGTCTACATGCTATTGGATATGCCACATCTTGTGCCATCATTTTTGTCTGGAATTGTTCCAGATGCTCTTGAGGGTCCCCCTTGCCGTTATATTTTTCTGTTGTAATCTTGACATCTCGAGGAATTGGGATGTTCATTATGCAGGGGACGAATGGGTGAATAATTCGAGAAAATGTCGTAGAATTCCCATGAGAATTCTTGTTTTCCTGAGTATTTTTTATTTCTTCACCTTTCTTATTTTTGTGACCCGAAGGTCCTGGATCGCCAGTTGAGTGTGTATGGTGTGATTCGTTTTCATCAGAATTTTTGGGAATTTTTTCCTTCTCCAGATCTTTTTCTTTTTCTTTTTCTTTTTCTTTTTCTTGGATTTTGTCTTTGTTCTTTTGAGCTTTTTTCAATCGAGCTAAATCTCGATTCTGCTAGACGATTTTCTTGTTCTGTAGTGTGATGAGGTCCAACAGATGTTGGGGTGACGGTGGGTCATCCAGGTGGATGGGAATTGGTGCCACCGACGAAGCTGATTTTTCACGGGAAGCAGGGGTCTCCTTCCGCTTTCCTTTGGAGCCATTCTGGGATTTGTTGTGAGTGTCAACCATGTTTTTAGAGAAAGGTGGGTAGTAATTTCTCACAGACGGCGCCAATGATCAGACCAAATACGGTATGGACTGTCTGATACGTATTGAGCCCAATCATACACGGTTGAGATTCCTTCAGTGGTTATTGGCCTGGGCCAGGTACTGCTGTTAGAGCGAGCTTGAGCCCTTTGTCCTTCACGTTGCACCAAATGGGGGGTACCTGCGAAGACACTCCGATGCTTAAGTCAGTATCAGAGGCAAGTGTTTTATGTTGTGAAAGTAAAGGATGATCGTACCTTGGTGGTATATCGTGTGTTTATATAGTAGTTGTGATGTCGCCTTTGTTAAGGCGGCATGGCTTCTGAGTGGCCAGCCTCGGGCTGCAGGTCAGGCAGGGGACCTATTGTAGCCTTATCTTCCATAGTGTCTAGTAGTAGAGTTGTAGCGAGCTGGAGCTGTCTATTGCTTACTGGTGCTAAGGCGCGGTGGAGTTGCCTTGGGCCTTAAGTTTACTTCCTATAGAAGGCATCACATGCGAAGTGAGAGTCGCGTGCCGCGATGAGGCCATCGCGTCTTGTGTGCCGCGATATGGGCAGCGCGTCCGTGCTTGTTCCTTGTGCTTTGTTCTGGGTCTTTACTGGGCTTGGGTTTTCATGTGTTACTGGGCTCTGATTGAGCCTATATTTTATCCGGATGAGTTACCTTTTGACAAAATATATATTTTGGAAGTTAAACTTTTTCATTTTCAAAAAGAAGTTAAACTTTTTTTTGCGCTACATTTAAGTCTCGCTAATATATCATTTAGCCCGGCTCAATTTGCAGGACCAATAGTCCTACGAACGCGATTAGTATGCTACCACGTCGAAGATGACAAAGGGTCAAATAGGAAAATTAATTTGCATTGCACAATGGGATGAAGCACCCAAAACTTTGCAATAGGGAATGTGATGGAAACAAAATGGTGTGTCAATTTAAGCATGATATCAGAGAGTTTACAAAAGCATAGGAAAACACACAGGATTTGGAAAACATTACGCATTAATTATTTGCATGGGATATTCTTAGAAAATGGCAACTGGTGGTTCATGGAACCTTTTTTTCGAGGAATATACTCATTTGAAATATTTCCCTAGAGTACATAGTATAATTTATAAGAGTTTATAAATATAAGTTTTCCCTTTGAAAAAAATAGATATGTATTGTGAACATTGCAAATATAAATATCATTATTAATAATTAAAATAATTATCTGTATATCTTCAACGTGGCCCAATAAGAAGTAGAGGCCAGTGTTGCTGGTCCCACTACCGGGATAGGTAATGTACAATGAAAAATTGCTTTACCGGTTATGTGGCAAAAAAGGATACTCTGGGATTAGTGTGGCATTTTGATATATCATTTGCCAAATCATCATGGCACTTCAATATTTGTGTCTCAAAATACCATCATTGTTTATTTAAAATAAAAAATAAAAAAAATTCTCCATTAAATGTACAAAAATATAATAAAGATTGCTCAAAACTTGCAAGAGCCTATGGGTGCGCCCCACCAAACAAAAACAGCTTTTCTGCTAAACGCTTGTTTTGAACTTTTATAACAGCTTTTCTGCAAAACGCTTGTTTTGAACTTTAGTTCAAAACAAAATTACGTAATTCAAACAAGCACAAGAGAAAGTTAGTCTTCTGTCTTCAATTGTTTAACAACTATGAAGCACTTAAATTGTATTATCATTTTAATCGGTATTTTGAAACCAGAAAGAAAGGTAGAGAGGGGGGTTTAAATGAATTGGCAAATTTAATCTCCAAAAATTTCTCTCTCCACTATGGATTTGCTATAAAAATACAGTGCTCCTTAATAGTTACAACGAGAGGGCTGCACAAGATTCATCAAATGCAATGGGTGAACAAACTACTAAATCAACAAAGGTTTGAATACACTAGAGCCATGACAACAGGTCTAGTCTGATTCTCCAGAAAATGTTTGTATGTCAACTTGTCACTCAGCAAAACTTCCTAAATATATAGATCAGTCGATCACAACTTCCATAGATCTGAGTTTGATTCAAATTCTTCTCCCTTTTAAAGGGATACAGTGATGACCAGTTGACTGAAGCAAATGGTTTTCCCTAATTGGAAAAAACTTCATATAAAGGACTTGAGCAAGTTATTTACCAACGAGCTTATAGTAGGCGTATAAACCAGAGCCAGCAAAACCGAGAAATTGACCAGTTACATTCCACTGAAACCAAATCAAAACACATTATATAAACAGTAAAAATATACTCAATTGTTCTACCAATATATATATACACATATATACTCTATCGGGAACACAAGTAAGGACAAGAGCACTCACAAAATCAAATGGTAGCCCACCAAAAATTATCCAGCCAAGGCCAATAGTAAACAGATCCTAGACATCAATACAGAATAATTAGAATTCAACCATAAGACTATATATAACAATCATGACATCAATATGAACAAATAAAATCATATCATATAAAGGAATAAAGGAGTGCAAGTCAGACTCCATGGCATTGTGTGGAAAAGATACATTCTTAATCCAATTAAAACCAATATATCGTGTTAATTCAGTGTGACGTCCTCTTTAAAGGTTTCCAATGTCAACTATATATCATAAGCCTAATCGATCAGAAACAATTATTCTGCAATAAGATCATAAGTTCTATTTCTTATTCCCGTATTTTCTTATCTTCACGAGTCACTACTAACTATATATTTGATACAAGGACGACGATTTTCAAAGAAAATCATCAAATTAAGCTCATTTCTTCACTTCCAAAAATGTTTGCAAGCGAAACTACTGCCACTGCATGTAAATCTCTCTCTCTCTCTCTCACTTCCTCATATGCATCAATTTCCACAGGCAAACTAACAGTTGATTACACTCAGTATCTCATGATACCCAAAATACATTGGGAGATCTGAAATTCCAAATATTAATAGCCAAAAAGTGTAACAATGTACCCAGTTCTCCCCCTATATTAGTAAACTTTGTAAAAACTCTATTCCACACAACCAGCCCTTGCACAGAAAAGTCCATACTAAGTTAACATCCTGAAATCGAGACCTTATAGTATCATCAGTGCCAGCCAGTAAATCATAGGTGAATTATTCATGCAAATTAAAACTACTAGCAGGTGAACAAACCTTCAGATTGCCACAAATTGTCTGTGTCACAGCTGAATTTAGAGTTGTATTCAGAAAAATACAGTAATTCAAGAAGAATGCCAGCACGCAGGAAAAAAGCAAAATAACCTGCCAATGAATAAAAGAAACATATAAATATTACAACTTGTCATAACTTAAAATTCAGAGGAAACCAGTTTTGAAGCTTTATGCTGATTGTTAATTTGTTATAGACAGAAGGCAATTGCTTCTTTATGAACAAAAATGTGCGCCTTCTTTTATTTGCAAGAAAAATTGTACACAACTTTCACCTCATCAAGGCAAATAAATTAAAGAAAGACTCAAGACAGACAAGGAACATTGCCAGTTAATTGCAATAAAAGAACATTGACGTACTTTCTATCTAGTTTGGAAAGAAGATTTCCTACAAGTTAAACAGACATAACAATTTTATTTTTGTTACATTGGAGGTGCAAGCACCTGGACAGGGGAGGGAGAGAGGTGGCCTAGTAGAGGATACCCACTTAGGCCAGTGCCCATTGAGCTACAAGTTTGTAGGCGAAAAAGTACAACTGAAACTTATATGGGTTTTACTTTATATTTGGAAAACATGCTTTTTTACGGTTATTTGAACTGGTCGGTTCAAGTCAGTTCTAAAAACCATGGTTATATTTATATGATGGATAAAATATCAAAAACCACTTGTGGTTTGACCCCTTACACTTTGGCCAAATTGTGGTTTAAAATGTGCCACATTACCTCCTGTAGTTTGTCACATCTCACATCAGCAAATTTCCATCAACATTTTAACAGAATAGATGTGGAACACATGGAAGCCTATCAGCTTTGGTCCATTTGCAATTTTCCCTATGTTGTTTATTCTGTTAGCACATAACTCCCTTTCCTTCAGAAAGTGGCTGAAAATAGCACAGGGTAGCCAAGTGCAAAAGGAGGAGAGGGTACTTGCTTTTAATCTCTACATTATTTACTCCAGATAGAGACTTAAATCCCCATTAACATCCCAAGAATAAATACCATATTTCTTTTGGCCAGTAACCAAGGAAGGTCCAACGATGAATACTTCTAGTTTTTTAAGGAGAAAAGTTCAAGCAGAACTTACAATAAAACCAGGAGAGAAGAGATAAGGAAAATTGATTGTTGTCTTCAAGTCACCACAAATAAATGTCCAGACAAGCAAAACTGGCCCACATATGATACCTATAATACAATAGAAAAGTATTTCAAATAATCAGCTTACCGTTGCACCACTTACCATTAAACGGCCCACAATTTTTTTTATCAGATAAGAAAGTTCAATAGGTCATCATACAATCTATCAGCTTACCATTGCACCACATAAGTCCAAAGCTATTAAGACCACTAGTTTTTCCTGAGAAAAAGACAATACCAAATAAATCAGAAAATGCAGGCTAACAAGGAAAAAAGGTATACAATTTCAACTTTATATGAGAGAGTGAGAGAATAGGAATACAACCAATGCGGGCAATGGTTGCAAGATATATTGCTGTAGTGATGTTTGCCATGAAAACAATGGCATAGCCATAAGCATCAAAAGAGAGGTCCCGTGCTCCAGCAACAAATGCACCAAAGACAATCAAGCCAACACTGATAACAATCTTATAAATTTCAGTTAAATGAAGGAATCAGGAAGATGCTCATTCAAATAACAAAAAGGACAGTGAACCAATTGTGTTATTTTTAACGCAGATGCATATCAACTTCTCCTTTTAAAAGTTCATCCAGGGGGAACATCCGCCAAGACTTAATTTCCAAGGTACCATACATAGACTGCATATACTAAGTGTACTGCAGAACATATCCCAAACTCATAATGGCTCATTTCCCTATTTCTCAATAAACGGAGAAGTATCTTTTTCTTGGATAGGTAGTTTGGAAGTAGAGCATTTTTTTCAACTCCAATGTAAGTTGGAGATGGATAAGAAGAAAAGAAATTATACTGAGAGACATCATCATAATATGTCAACCTTGTGGAAATTCTGCACATTGATTTTTACTCATTTACACAAGCTGATTGAAAAATGATTTAGATAAGACGATGAGTAAACAACTTAACGCAAAATGATAAACTCACATTGTTCAATAAAGTTTATTACATCAATTACTGTTTATTCAATATATATTCTTTTAATGATTTGAACACCACAATATAAAAGTCTTTCATTCTTTTTAAACGAACAGCATTCAGAAGTCCAATACCTCTGTAGCATGTGATTCTTTCATTCAACAAATACCAATAGCTAGATTTTTCTCAATACCGCCACGTGCAGAGTAAGGCATCCGTTGCCAAAGTTTTGTTTTAGTTTTTGTGTTGTTTTTTCATTTTTTTTTTTTTTTGACAGAACACTTGATAAAATAATAAATCAGCAATTACAATGAGAACTTGCATGTTTAAATGCAACTATTCAGCTTAAATTGTTCTTTTATTGTTAGAGACATAATACAACTATTCATGGGTCTTCACCTCCCAACTTAAGCTTTCGAGATGATTGATTCATGATATAATTCCAGAGCCTCCAGCGACCAGGTGTTTGATCACTGGCACCCCCCATTCTTTTAAATAGTCAATTTTCAGAACATGGTAAAAATGGGCGAGTGCATTATTTACCCTTTAAGTCCAAAGGACTCTTGCATGAGATGGCATGTTAAAAACATTATGAAGTCATTCATGAGCCTTTCCCTAATAGCTTAAGTTTTTTTGGGAAAGTTTGTTCATGACATTTATAATCATCAAGTTGCTAATGAACATTTCCATACCACCTATTCAAATTATATATTCCCACAATAAATGATAGCAAAGGTCCAAAGGACCTTAAGATGAATCTGTATATATAAATATAATAAGGGAGTTTATTACTCCCACATTAAATTACACATTTTAGATATGTTACTAAATTTTTAGGAGCATGAATCAAAGACTTATTTGAACAAAATATGGCATACTGTAGGTCATATCATGCAATGGAGAGAAAGCAATTTACCTGAAAATGACAGAGTGTGTGTACCTCTGCCCCACCAGAACCAACTCTACAAGCATTGTAAATACCACGGTGGTCCTCCTAAGAGTAGTGTACATTGGAACATTTACTCCACGAATAGACTCCATGGTGACTAGCTAAGGAGAAGTACAGATGTGAATAAAAAAAATAAAAATAAAAATAAGAAAATAAACAATTAAGAGTTTGTCCTATGGGGGTGAGGGGGGGAAAGGGCATACCATGTAAAGTAAATATGCTCCTGACAGAGGAAGAGTGTGCTTCAAGGTCTTCAGTGATACAAACTTTGTTGAGTTATCTGATATATGTAAAGATTCACCAGTGGTGAAAGAAATTATCCTCCAACGCCTCAATACATAGAGAAAACAACATGAACATACCATCTGCAGCAAAAAGAAGCATAGAATGTGAAATGGATCAAGTGAATCTTTATCACAATAGATTAATTGGTAAGGCCTCAAAGGTCAGTGTAGAGACAGCGTAGCATCCTATAATTTTAGCTTCAAAATAATTCCTTTCTACCTCTCCTCAAATGCAAGCAATTCAAACTCTTTTTGTCATGCATTGTTGCTTCATTTAAGTTGACTAATCCCTAATAACTTATTTTGAAGAACTACAACTCTTAGTGGGTGTTTGAATGGGCTTTTTTCTTAAAAAAAAATTATTATTATTATTTTTTTAAAATGGTCCTTTTGTGAGTTTGGATAGCAACTTTTAAGAAAGGCAGAATTTAAAAAGTAAAATAGTGCTTCTTTTAGAAGTTGGGATTCCTTGTTTATGAAAAAAGTAGAAGCCAAAAGTCAAATAATTTTTTGAAAACTCAAATTTGTCCCAACCCACTACCACTAACCACCATTACCATCACATATCCTTTTTAGTAATTTTATATATAAAATGTGCTTATTAAAATAACTTTTTTATTTAAAAGTATTTTTGATGTATTCCACCCAAATGTAAAATAGTTTTAACTTTAAAAAAAAAATATTCTAAAAAATGCAAGTCATAAAAAGTACTTTTTTTTAAAGCCCATCCAAACGGGATCTTAACATATAAAGACTCTGCTTAATAGTAAGGTTCATTAAAGAATAGGGAAGAGAATGTGGAGCAACAGACCAAAAGAAAAAAGAATGAACAACAGGAATCAAGAATGCAAGTTTAGAGCAGAACTATTGATTTGCACAGCATTCCATCCTCTATAACAAAGATACTAAGGAGTGTGAAGAGAGTTATAAATCAACCAAGTATGACTGTACTACTTAGACTTGAGGAGAATGACATTGATGTTCTTCTTTAAAGAAAGTTGGATTATGAAGTCCGTTTCTTTATAATTTTCTGCAACGGATGCCAAAAATTTCTAGTAGAACAAATTAGTGGCCTGTCAAGTCTTGGGTCATACGAAGTATGGGAACAACAAAATCATGGGTACTCCTGCATGGTTGCCACACCTATAGAGGATACATATCCGGTATAGGTACTTACTAGATACACATGGATACTGTTAGAATCTGTGTTAGTTTTTTATTTGTCCCACATCATGTATCTTATTATTATAAATATAACCCTTGTGTGGTCATACTTGGCACACGATTACCCAAACTTCAAGTTGGTATGAGAGCTAGGTTATGATCCGGGGACCTGAGTTTATGGGCCCACCAAATAAGAAACTAACACAACTCTATATATATATATATATATATATATTCTAACAGATACATGTATACTCAGTTTCTTTTTCTTTTTTTGCCTTTCAAATTTCACTATCAAATATGCTTAGATACATCTTCGTCGAGCACTGCAAGTCTGCAACGAGCAAATATCACTTGTGTACAAGCCAGTCCATGCAAAAGACTAAGTTTTGTTACTAAGTTGATTGGTTTGTGAATGAATTAAAAAAGAAAAATACTTCAACCCATAAAATCTTGTGCTATCTTTAGGTATTTTTGCTTTCTTGATATACTTTATGGAGTTTGGTTGAAAACTTGGACTCAGAACCTTATGGAATTGTATTTGTCTTATGACCTATTTACTTTATGTTTTTAAATCACCATATAATACATCCTCCCCCAACCTGATTCTTATAAAACTTGTCATACCGCTATATTAGTAGGAGATACTCGTACACATATCCATGCAATTTAGAATCCAGATCATTCACCTCGTCAATATACTCTGATACTGTTCAAAATCCCAAGTCCAATCATGTGATTTCTAATAATTGAAGTGCCCTAAACCTTCGCATCACCCGAACCTTTGAGTTCACACAGCTGAGATTGGAATGCTTTAAATAATTAATAAAGAATTATCTTAAAAGAAATCGCAAAATTGCTAATTTTTAGTATAGTATTTCTAGTTTTAGAAGATAGTGAGATCAAATGACTTGGGTCGAGTTTTTAAGTTTTAACAAAGAATAAGTGTAAAGTAAAAAGTAGACATAATTATTATAAATTAATTTTAGGGCATAGAACATATCAAAATAATTAACCAAGTCCCAAGAACAGGTGAGGAACTATAATTTGGATATAAAATTATGAAGATGTAAGAAAGATAGAAAGAAAAACTCAGTAATTTAGTATCAACCTGAAGAAGTGTGATGACATTTGCAGATGGGAAGTTATAAGATGAAAGAGCTGCCTTATTGAACATCACCAAGAGAACTACACAACAAAAAATAGATATTATTATTATGTAATGGTATTTATCTCCTAGATGGAAAGCCTTGCATGTCAGCCGAGACACAATATTGAAACACCCACACCACAGAAACAAGAGAAATGTAGGAAAAGAATCAAAATTTTAAGTACACTTCTCTTTCAAAATTTTGTGTTTATGTCCTTAAACCATGCATAATGGGTGAATTCCTTGTTTAAAATATAGGAAAGGTAACTAACTACTCATGACAATAAGCTCCTGAACACATATCTCCAATTATCCGTTTTTCTTTTCCTTCCAAGTTCCAATACACAATGAAATATGAACATATTAAAAGGCATAGATGCATACAAATTGCCAAGGACATATTTGGATATCCAATGATGGGTGAATGGAATGTAATAAGATAAAATAGAATAAAATTATCATTCCATTGTTTGGATATTTTATAATTGAATGGAGTAAAGGAAATTAATAAACAATAAGCTAGTTCTATCCCATGCCCCCAAATTAGGGGGGAAATTATCATATAAGAAACCTTAAGATAACTGCAGTATTAAATAGAGTTTCTAAAATTGAAAAAAATGTAAAAGGAAATTGGGGGGAAAGAAGAAGAAGAAGAAAAGTGTTGGATATGGAGGTACCTGCGCAGGACATGTAAGAAATGGCAGCGTAGGCTCCTCGTTTGGTCATGGCGGAACCTTTGAAGATTTTATCGTCGGCTTTCTCTCTTCCGTCCATGTCCTTCGGAGGATCGGATACCGGAAGTATTAGATTCTCCGACGAATTGGACGGTTTGAGAGACATGATAGGAAAAAAGGGGGGTTTCTTCTTCAAAATAGAGTAGTTGGATTTTGTTGAAATTGGAGGAGAAAGAGATAGAAGAGGATGAGGGGTTTTTCTGATTCGAAGTTTGTTCGATGTTTCCAACGCAATCAGACTCAGAACTCCGAACTTGACTTAGACTTCGTCAGGTTTCAACTCTGACCTCCACATTTCACATACTACCCGTTTTTTTTTTTCTCTCCTAATATTTTAATTGGTTGATAGCATCGAGATTATTATGATTCGGGCGGAAGATTAAAATTTTAAATTTTTTTCAAAAATTATACTAAAAAAATCAAGGATTGAATCGAATACACGTTCTCATCTTCACTTCATGCTCAATTTCTTTAAATTATCTGAGCTACCATTATTTGATTATTTCATTTGTCCAATTGTGTCGGTGATTCAAATTTAAAAAAACAATTAAATTAGTTTATATATAATTAAACATATTTTTTATTTTTCTATTCTATATTTTTGTTTTGTTTTTCAATGAAACATTCATTATTCTCCTTGCTCAGAGATATACTCATGAGTCATGAATAAAAATCCTATTTCCTAAAGATCCCCACAACCATTATGTGATATATCTTATCAGGAGTGAGAGTTTAAAGTAAACACTTTAGATTGAATGAGAAAATGTAATTACCGTTCTTTTAATTGGCCAAAATAGGTGCCAAAAATGATTGGTAAAGAAAAGAAGCATATTCAAGCTAACTATTGACCCAGATAAAGGCAAAGACAAACATACACAAACACATTAACAGGTGGACATTATATAAGGAGAGTATGATTGGCACCTCGGAATCACAGCTCGATAAGGCAAAAGCATGCGGGTATAATCATAAAGTGCCGTCACGTCCATCGACAACCTTCGGTCAATGATCATTTTTTTATATCTGTAATAGGTATATTTGTCATTTAACAAATAATATTTAAATAAAAAAAATATTTTCCTCTCCTTTCTATATAAATATGATAGTCATTCTTTATTTTTTACTGCATAAATATACTGAGAGAATAATACAACAGTAGTATTATAAATATTTTCCTTCGGCCAATATAGCACGAACCAAAGCACTCATATGTAATTTTAAGGGATCACCACGCTGAGCAAAGGCAAAGTTTATGTGATTACGGACCAGAAATCATTTAGTGGGACTATGGTGAGAGAAAGGAAGAAAAGATTGAGAAGAAAAAAGAGAAAAAAATAAAATAAAATAATCTAGATGTCAATATTTTAGTGGTAAGGACCTCGGTGGTCCTAAACCACATTAAAAAATTCCCACCACGCTCTAAGCACACACCATACATTTTTGGACATTAAAGTAGAATTTGAAACATGCAGGATATCTATGATTAGGAGTGTAAATGGGCTAGATCGGCCTACAGGAACCTACGACCTAGTTTATATTAGGCCAGACTTGACCTATTATAAATAGTAAAATAGAATAAGCCAAGGCTTTTAAAAAAACCTATTTAGAAAAGAGGCCATGGGCTTTTTTGTACATGACGAGCCTATAAGCCTACAGGCCGGCCTATATCATATTATTTTTTAAAATATAATAAATAAAATTATTATTTTAATAATTTTGAATAATAAAATAATATTATTTTAGTTATTCTTTTAATTGTTGAATGTTTAATGGACTTAAACAGGCTAATAGGACTAGACCAAGGCTTTTATTTTTTAAATATAGATCAGGTCAGACTTGTAATTTGGGGCCTACACAAGCTAATAGGTCAGGTCATACCCAATATTTTTTACATAGGCCTAGCCTATTTAAGCCAAAGCCTAGCCCATTTACACCCCTATCTATGATGCACTGACACTGATACGGGACACGGGACACGACACAACACGCTGACACGTAAATTCTAAAAAATGTCATATTCTGACACGTTGGGATACGTTTTGATATTAAATAAAAATTTTAATATATATAATATAATTTATATTTAATATATATAACAACGCATAATAAGTCTTGTAACCAATCAAATTTTATAACATAAATATAAACAAAAATAATTTTTCATACCTTGTTAATTTTTCATGTCAAATTTCATAACAAAAAAAATTGATTTAGAAATTATTTTTTCATGTTTAGTTAATAAAATAAAATTTAGCTGTAAAAAAAAAAAATTGTCGGATGCGTGTCGGAGCGTTGACCGCGTGTCGGAAAAAGTTGACTACGTGTCGAAAAAGCGTGTCGGAGCGTTGACCACGTGTTCCATAATATTGATCGCGTGTCGGAACGTGTCGGAGCGTGTCGGTGTCCGACACTTAAATTTTCAAAAATTTAACGTGTCTGTGCATAGCAGCAGGATACTAGTTAAAATTCTGATTTAAATATGTATTTTTATGATTTTATAATTTTTTTAATTAAAATGATTTCATCAAAATTTCAAATACTTTTTTGTTTTTATGTTTTTTTTTTACTTTAGGATTTTATGTTTTAAGATTTTATATCCTTCTTTGATTTTAGGTAAAATGTAATCATGTCCGAGGAAGACTTGGAAGTAACGAAACTCCCAAATGTAATCTTTGAGGGCTCGTTAGTCCAACTTATAAAGAATCAATTCAACCTAAGTTGGGTGAATAATTTTTTAATGATTTATATTATTCTTTAACACATCTCATACTAGAGTCATTTGAGTTTGAAGCATGAATATTAAACATACTCAATTTTTAATTTAATATTTTATTTAGTTCCGCTAGAAAATGGAGGCAATATTTGTGACCTTATGATCACTAAATCTCTAATATCACGTAAAGAATCAACTTAACTCAAAAACTTAAACTATAAGATGAGAATATTTTTAATTGTTTATATTATTCTCTGATACAACCAAAACACACATTTGCTAATCTTTGGCTAATGAAGCATATTCACAGCAATTCTGGAAAACACTTTTCATACAACCGTGGTACATACGACTGCGAATTAAAAAAATACACTTGGATTTTTCTTTTTTCTTTTATTTAATCTGTACCTATGACACACAAAACAAGACACTTTAATTGGATTGTTGCACCCAATCAACAATGCGACAGTAGCATTAAAAATATTTCGGTAATTCTGAATCTCAACAGAAGTCTAAACTCATAAGTGTAATCCTAAAGGATCATTATGCCCCCGACTAAACCACACATCGAGCTATATTCAGACTAGTACCAAATCTAGGATATAAAAATTGCACTTGTTTACAAAAAAAAAATTGCACTTGCAACTCAACACCCCCAAGTCCAACCCACTGTGGTTTGAATTATAAACACCCTGGATTCATCATGCACCGTGCCTAAAATGATTTTATACATTATTTTGTACATAATAAACGATAAATGTTTCTTAATCAAATCAATTTTTTATTTTATCACTATATAAACGGCTTTTTGACCCTTTTGCCCCTAATTAAATAATTAATAACCAATTTTCCCCTCCTCCAGAACTATCCACCATCCTGCCCTCATTTAGTCGATTAAGTTTCACTTTTAATCGACTAAATAGGGTAAACTCAGAAATCATGAAATGCGAATTTTAGTCGACTAAAAACTCACCTTAATCGACTACATTGTTTGCAATTTTAGTCGACTAAGCACATTATTTAGTCGACTAAATGTCGCAGATCAGGTTTTTTAAACCCCCCCCATTTTCGCAAAGGGGGTTATTTTCAAACCCTAATCGACTAAATCGCTCCATTCCGTCCCCTCTCTCCAACCAAGTCCGAATCTCAACCCTTGAAGGTGCGATTAAAGCTTCCTTGGTTCACACTTGCGAAATCGACATTTAGGTAACGTATTCTGACTTGCATTTGGTTTTAAGTTTAGTTTTTTTTTTGTTTTCTCCATGCATTTGATTTCTGTTTGCGGTTTTGTGGATTTAGGTTAGGGGTAGGGTGCTAAGTTTGATGTGAGGGTGAGGGTTAGGGTTGATGGGGTGCCTTAGGCTTAGGCTTAGGGTTATGTTAGGGTTAGGGTTAGGGTTAGGGTTTATGTTGATGTTTTGTTTGGGTTGTAGTGTTAATCGACTAAACCAGTACAGGTTGCTCGACTAAATAACTGGTTTTGACACCCCATTCTGTTTTGCACGCATTTTTTTGGCACGGAACCGATCGAATATCAATGTACACGCATATAATGACTTGGGGAACACACTTTCAGGTATAAAATAGTATTGTACAGGATTCGTATGCGATTGGGTACGTATTACCCCAAACCGTTTGTTTACGCTCCCCGAAACTTGGGACTTTTAATTTTTGGTAATATTAGTATTAGTTATGAGTTTCACTCTATCAATATGGACCAATGTTAGATAATGGACTTAGAAATGAAATGTCAAATTACATAATGAGTTATACAGTAACACAAAGTAACATCAAAATTCATAACAGAATTACATGAACTGTTACAAAAGACCTTAAATACATGCACAACATTGGTTCAGCTAGGATTAATCCTCATAGGACATGTACGTTTATTGTGACCAATTTGCTTGCAGGTGCTACATCTAGTTTGATTGCTTGTGGGTTGGCACTCAACCCAATCCATTTCATTCTGTATCCTTGAAGACTTCGGTCTACCTTGTGCACGAACCAAAGATGCATTTGGGATAATAGTTGGACCATCTATTTCTGGGATCAACAACTTATTACCCATTGGAAACCAATGTGCAGCATAGACCTTCTCAATTTGTGTAATTGAGAACACAGGATCGACATAGTCATAGTGGTTCAATTTTTCAACCTTGCACACCGCTAGCACATGACTGCAAGGAAATCGTCTAGCTGTGAACCGTCCACATTGACATTTACGATTTAGCAAGTCAACCCTCATAATGTCGCCGGCATCATGCGTAGATTGATTGTAGGCATCCTCAACTTCAAACAACTGCAAGTCTCTATCAAAAACACGAACACGGAGACTGACAGTTAACTGATCATTCTTTTGTAAGAAGTCCTCAACCTTTTTTGCAATTCTCCAGCCTTTGTCCTTTACTTTTTGGATCTTTTCACGCCTCTTCACAAAATACTCTACAAGTCTACTTTGCGTCATCTTGACCAATGCCGTTACTGGCAAATTACGTGCACCCCGTAGGACCTTATTGATACACTCAGATAGGTTAGTCGTCATATGAC